CACAGGAAAAGATGCTTAACATCATTAGTCTTCACAGAAATGCAAATTAAAACCATAATGAGCTAATACTTCACATCTCCTGGGATTGCTATAATCAAAAGGACATACAATAACAAGTTATTACTGTTATGTTGCTAGTGTTTTTACAGTGTGGAGAAACTGGAATCTTTATTCATCGTTGATGATGGGAATGTAAAATGGTGCAGTCACTGTGGTGAGAAGCTGCGTGGCAGTTTCTAAAAATGTTAAACATAGAGTTAGCATATGACCCACCAATTCTGCTCCTAGGTATGAAAACGTATGCTCACATAAAAACTTGTACATGAACATTTATAGCAGCTTATTTTAATAACTAAGAGACAGAAACGATCCAATTGCCTATCAACTGATGAATTGATAAATAAAATGTGGTATATCCATACAACATCATTTAGTCATAAAAAGAAATAAAGTACAGATATATGCTACGACATGGATAGATCTTGAAAACATTATGCTGAGTGAAAGAAGACAGTCACAAAATACCTATGGTATGATTCTATTCATATGAAGTGTCTAGAATAGGCAAGTCTAGAGACAGAAAGTAGATTAATGGTTGCATAGGTCTGGGGAGGTAGAAATCGGGGGTTGGTGAGGAACGACTGCTCACCAGTGTTCTTTTTGGGACTGATAAAAATGTTCTAAAATTAGATTATGGTGACTGCATAACCCTGCAAATTTAGTGAAAACCATTGATTTATATGCTTCAAATGGGCAAACTATGGTATGTAAATTATATCTTGATAAGGCTGTTACTTTTTAAAAAATGTTATGTCTGTTTAGTAATAAGGAATTTTATATGAGATATAAAAACATCATAGTTATCTTAACTCTTCCCCAGGATTTCAGTGGTAAATTTTTATATAGAGTGAACATCATCAAAGGCAATCCCCAAACAATGATCAGCGCTAAAAAGAGGCCCCTGTGTGTTTATCTGTTGTTGGTAGCGGAGCTAATTTTTAGCCTGTGGTTGGTCTTTTTGCATCTAGCAAGCTTCAGTTTGCTGCTGGGTCCTTCCCAAAATGACAACCTTTTTATCGTCCTCTCCATTAGAAACAAGAAAAGATCACACAAGTATTTTTTCAATATGTTCACTTTACACATTGGGGTGAAAATAAAGATCTATTCCATAGATTAGAGCTATGTATACATTACTGCATTACTTCTTAGTGACGTAGGCAAGCCCTATCTGAAGACCCAAATGGGGTCCTTGGCTTTGTGCAGGATAGAAATCAAACATAAGCCAGAGACGTGAAAGCAGTTTAATGAATAGCAAAAGTGATAGCATATAGCACATGGAGCATCTGGGAGGCTCAGAAAAGGGGAAGGAAATTTCTCCATTGCTTGGGATTAGGGTTTTATATTGGAAAAGAGTCCAGGGCATGGATTCCTTCAGGAATCCAGTTTAGGGTCCAAGTAAAGATGAGTATCCGGTGAACAATAGGAGTTATCCTATAAATTATGGAAGGTAGGGGGTACTGGCGCCAGTGTCCACTGAGATTTGTTCTTAATATGTCATCAGGTGGATGGGAGCCTAGGACAAAACTCAGAGAATGATCAACTCTCTTGCTTCTTCCTTGGAGAGGGAACATAGCTTCTTTGGTTTTACTCAGATGAAAGATGAAATATAGAACATGAGTAAATGGAGCCTAGCAGAGAAACAGTAGAGATGGAGTTTTTCTAAAATGGAGTCCCTTCAGTTCCCTATCTCCTGAGAGTTTCAAGTCTTAGCAGTAAACTACATATGCAGATGGACATGCAATCTTCTAGTAGTTTTACATTTTTTATTATGGAACTTACCCAGACTTGTCTATAAGGGCTTTTTCTATTCGTAGTATAGTGAGAAAGAGCTATGTAGGACTAAATATGAAAGCTCTTTTATGGCAACTTAAAAAAAGAAACTTATTATCACCACTTATAGTACTTAAAAGTTTTTCTCCAGAAAAATATATTTTTTTAAGATTTTATTTATTTATTTATTCATGAGAGACACAGAGAGAGAGGCAGAGACACAGGCAGAGGGAGAAGCAGGCTCCATGCAGGGAGCCCGATGTGGGACTCGACACACCCCGGGCCTCCAGGATCATGTCCTGGGCTGAAGGCCGCACTAAACCGCTGAGCCACCCAGGATGCCCCAGAAAAATATTTTGATTCGTGATCAGTTTTAACTCTTGAGACTTCTTGTTATCGATGTACGTTATGTAACTGAAGCATCTTCCTCATCAGCCAGTATATTGCCCACATCATTCTAGAAAATGCAAAGTAATTCAAGTTTAATCTGAGCAGAACATAATTTGGAATCTGCCATTAAAATATATATTATACATTTTGAAGAAAAATCACTTATGTGTTTTTTAGGATTATGGGTATATACAATTGCCAGTAAACATGTTTTAAAAGATTGCATTTTTTCCCCCTGCACACTCAAGTCTCTGTTCCTGTAATTTTCAATGAGCCCACATTTTTTTTCCCCTTTCAAGAATCCAGGAATCTTTACAGAAATGTTTTGCTTCCCTTTAAATCAATATTAAGAGTAGGATAAAGACAGTGAAGATAAGAGATCCTAAATTCTATGCCACCAATGGGCATTAGACATGTACAAACTTTTTAAGAGGTGCCAAAACCCATTAGGAAGAAGAAAAATTCAGTGAAGGCTTTTGAGCAGTATTTTATTATTCTGTTTAAGAATACTATCTTGGGATCCCTGGGTGGCGCAGCGGTTTGGCGCCTGCCTTTGGCCCAGGGCGCGATCCTGGAGACCCGGGATCGAATCCCACATCAGGCTCCCGGTGCATGGAGCCTGCTTCTCCCTCTGCCTGTGTCTCTGCCTCTCTCTCTCTCTCTATCTGTGTGACTGTCATAAATAAATAAAAATTAAAAATTAAAAAAAATTATTAAGAATACTATCTTGTAAGCGAATTTTAACATTACCCAGGACACATTTCCATACTATGAGAAATGTTCTTTATTGCAGCTTCAGAAATAACTACTACAAATTTACAATTCCGTATCTGAAACCTTGGCCTGGCATATTTCAGAATTCAGAACTCTTCTTAGAAAAGTGTGTCTGTCGGGCAGCCCAGGTGGCCCAGCGGTTAGCGCCGCCTTCGGCCCCGGGGTGTGTCGAGTGTGTCGAGTCCCGTGTCGGCTCCCTGCGTGGAGCCTGCTTCTCCCTCTGCCTGTGTCTCTGCCTCTCTCTCTCTCTCTCTCTCATGAATAAATAAATAAAATCTTTAAAAAAAAGTGTGTCTGTCATGTATTATGCAACACCTTCAACAAGAGAGCTGCTGTACTGTAATCAAACGCATTAATGGTTTTTTTAGGAAACTGATCAATAGTCACACCAAGTGCATATTCAGCTGTGCAGGGCTTCAATTCTGTTCAGATTTAACTAACAAGGGAGTTAGGGAAGACAGATAAAGGGCTGGGACCTGTAAATGACATGTTTATCTGAAATCTGGTTCTTTATGAATGGCGTCTGGTTCAGAGCCAGAGTAAACTATAGGTCTTTTCGTCCATAAAAAGGAAACAATGTATTTAAAATGAAAACTGAAACAGTATATTTTGCTTTAGCCTGCGAAACTAATTAGATTATGATCGTCTTGAACTTGTGTAGCTCCACTCGGTCAGAAACTCCCATTTTTTTGGCGCTATAGTAAAAGACACCAGATCAACCCCACGCTTGTGGGGTGAGCATCCCTCGCGGCTTCACGGAACGTGGGCATCAAGAAGGACTGTAGAAGGGCGGGAAGCCAGGGATGCTGCAGAGCGCTCCCGCACTATCTACACGGGGCCAACTTCAGTCTCAGCGGCATAAAGGGAAAGGGATTAAATAGACATCTCTGAGGCCACCGCTCTCTTGCCAAGACACAGGGCGAACTAAATTCCTTTCGAGGCATTGGTGTAAAATCTTGCTTGGGGGCTGCAAAAAAACTCTCACAGGTAAGGGGGAGGAGTGGCTAATGAGCCGGAGCCGGGGCTAGAAGAGGAAGGGAAACAGAGTGCCGAGTCTTGCACAAATCGGGTGAAAACGAGCCCGAGCCATCAGTTCCTGGATCGGTCCCACAGAGTTAAGCGTACGCGCGTGGGTGGAGCACGGCGGGACCCGAGCCTCGGCGCTCTCCCCGGCCCGGCGCTGCGCTGCGCTGCGCGTGCAGCAAGCAGTTAACTGCTGCGCAGCAGGAACTGGGCCTTTCCTCGGGCGTCCGGGAAGCGTCTCCCAGGGGCGCAGCCCAGAATCGACCTCCCCGAAGAGGACGCCCACGGGAGGCAGGGCTCGGTCCTCCCTGAGCTCAGGCCCAGCCCGTCCCCCCGGCTTCAAGTAGTGGGCGGGGCCCTCGCGGCTTTCCATCCAATCTTCGTTCCCGGGTGACTGCGGGGCGGGGCCCTCGCGGCTTTCCGTCCAATCTTCGTTCCCGGGTGACTGCGGGGCGGGACCCTCGCGGCTTTCCGTCCAATCTTCGTTCCCGGGTGACTGCGGGGCGGGACCCTCGCGGCTTTCCGTCCAATTCCCGCTCCTCGGCTGCGGCGGAGAAGCCTGCCTGTGCGGCGGTGGGCTGCGGCGGAGTAGGCGAAGCGTCAGCGGTGAGGACCCGCGGGCTCCACCGGGCAGCGCTCCCTTCCTCCCCGAGCTCTCAGTGATGGTGGGGGAAAGTTAAGTGGCGTAGAATGAAGTTAAAATAGCGTAGGACGGTGGGAGTGCCGGGACCCGGCGGGAGCGTGGTGTCGTCAGGCGTCTTCCAGCGGGCGGGAGCCGTACCCCTGAGGCTGGGCCCCTGGGCTGACCCCTAGTGCTGCTGAGGTAGAGTCCTCTCCCTTGGTGGCCTCGTGAGTGTGCCGAGCCGCTCTCGGTGTGTGGTGGGAGGAGTGCGAGCTCACTTGGCGCTCTGCGCCCCCACTCCTTGCCCTGGGACCCGCCCTTGGGAGGCACTTTGTCTAATGAGAGTGTGCTTGCCCGAAACCCGGTTAACCCTGGAGTAATTATGAGCCAGCTGTTTAGCAGATGAACTGTTTGCGTCTGTTGGCTGTGATTCCCAACGGTTTAAGACTTGCGGCTTCCCGGTCCCGAGGTTGGTTTGTGCTCCACGTTCCTTCACCAGTTTTTGTTAAAAAATGTCTCCCCCCCCCCCCCCCCCCCCCCCGCGCAGTTGTGATGCTTGTTTTCCTTCCCGCAGTCGCCAGCCTGGTTCAAACCTCTTTGCGTTCTCAAAGCAGAGTTGTTGCAGCAGGCTCCTGGCGGTCCTCAACTGCTCATCTGGGTGTACCGGTAGGTGACAGTATGGTTGGTTGGTTGTTGTTGGTTTTTTTTTTTTTTTTTTAATTTTTGGTTCTCTTTTCCGCTTGGGGTTTACATTTTCTTACCTTGAGGAAGCCTACTATAATTAATTCCAGTATCATCATTTTATTAATGCCTATGTAGGTTCTTTTGGAAGTATTTAATGTTCGCGGTTGAGAGTTTTGAACACTCAGCCCTGAAGGAGTCTGGTAGTTCATATTTTCAGTGTGTACCTTTTGATGAGTTAAGACTAGTAGGTATGGGATTGGTAGTCTTGGCATCAGTTTTGTTGAATCAGTTAGGTAACAGGAAGATACACAACGAACAGCATATCTCTTCTATGCATGTGTATTTAGATTCTTATTCCTGACTTAACAATTTATCACAGACTAAACAGTTCAAAAAAAAAAATCACAAATTGGTTATCTCAAAGCTTCTGTAGATCCGAAGTCCAGGTAGGTTTAGCTGGGTACTCCGCTTAGCATCTCACAAAGCTGAAATAAAGGTTTCTGGAGTTCTGCAGTTGCTGGAGACTCTGGAGAAGAATCCACCTCTAGGCTTTTGAGGTTGTTGGCAGAATTCATTTTCTTGGAATTGTAGGATGGAATTGTTCCCATTTCCTCACTGGGTTCCAGCTGCAGGCTTTCTCAGTTCTGTAGGGCCACCTGTATCTTCATAGCCAGACAGTGCCTTCAGTCCTTTTCGTGCTTTTAATTTCCCTGAGTCATCTACAGCCAACTTCTGGTGGAGTTGGTATTTGGAACCGTATCTACATTTCTATTAGGTCTAAAGCTAATATTTGTGGAATGTCAAGATAAAGTATAGCCCAAGTCATTGGATATGTTGTACCTTATTTTTGGGCTATCTCTTTATAACAGTGATGTAGGGGGAGGGGCAAGATGGCGGAAGAGCAGGGTCCCCAAATCGCCTGTCCCCACCAAATTACCTAGATAACCTTCAAACCATCCTGAAAATTTACGAATTCGGCCTGAGATGTAAAGAGAGACCAGCTGGAACGCTACAGTGAGAAGAGTCCGCGCTTCTATCAAGGTAGGAAGACGGGGAAAAAGAAATAAAGGAACAAAAGGCCTCCGAGGGGGAGGGGCCCCGCGAGGAGCCGGGCTGAGGCCGGGGCGAGTGTCCCCAGGACAGGAGAGCCCCGTCCCGGAGAAGCAGGAGCTGCACCAACCTTCCCGGGCGGGCGGAAAGGGGCTCGCAGGGAGTTGGAGCAGGACCCAGGAGAGCGGGGATGCCCTCGGGCTCCCGGGGACACTAACAGACACCTGCGCCCCTGGAGAGTGCTCCGAGCTCCCTAAGGGCTGCAGCGCGCACGGCGGGACCGACCGGAGCAGCTCGGAGGGGCTCGGGAGCGGCTCCACGGAGGGGGCTGCAGGGCGGGAGCGCGAATCCAACAGCGCAGGCCCCGGAGCACAGGGCGCCGGGACACAGCCCAGGATCCGGCCTTCCCCGGGACCGGCAAAGGCCGGGAGGGCCCAGGACAGCAAGGACGCTCCTGCCCCGAGCTGAGCAGATCAGCGGCCCCGCCCCGGAGCCTCCAGGCCCTGTGGACAGAGAACCGAGAGCCCGAGCCCCGTAGTTCCTGCGGAGGCTAAATCCAGGCTTCCAGAGTTGCCATAGCAACTGCTGCTGTTCCTCCTGGGGCCCCACGGGGTAAACAACCCCCGCTGAGCCCAGCAGCAGGCAGGGGCAGAGCAGCTCCCCCAAGTGCTAACACCTGAGAATCAGCACAACAGGCCCCTCCCCCAGAAGACCAGCTGGACGGACCAGTGATACTCCCCCGTGTTCCAATACAACTTGTTTTTCGCCACTCTGCACTGAGCAAAATGACTAGAAGGAAAACTTCACCTCAAAAGAAAGAATCAGAAACAGCCCTCTCTCCCACAGAGTTACAAAATCTGGATTACAATTCAATGTCAGAAAGCCAATTCAGAAGCACTATTCTACAGCTACTGGTGGCTCTAGAAAACAGCATTAAGGACTCACGAGACTTCATGACTGCAGAATTTAGATCCAATCAGGCAGAAATTAAAAATCAATTGAATGAGATGCAATCCAAACTAGAAGTCCTAACGACGAGGGTTAACGAGGTGGAAGAACGAGTGAGTGACATAGAAGACAAGTTAATGGCAAAGAGGGAAACTGAGGAAAAAAGAGACAATCAATTAAGGGACCATGAAGACAGATTAAGGCAAATAAATGACAGTCTGAGGAAGAAAAACCTACGTTTAATTGGGGTTCCCGAGGGCGCCGAAAGGGACAGAGGGCCAGAATATGTATTTGAACAAATCCTAGCTGAAAACTTTCCCAATCTGGGAAGGGAAACAGGCATTCAGATCCAGGAAATAGAGAGATCCCCCCCTAAAATCAATAAAAACCGTTCAACACCTCGACATCTAATAGTGAAGCTTGCAAATTCCAAAGATAAAGAGAAGATCCTTAAAGCAGCAAGAGACAAGAAGTCCCTGACTTTCATGGGGAGGAATATTAGGGTAACAGCAGACCTCTCCACAGAGACGTGGCAGGCCAGAAAGGGCTGGCAGGATATATTCAGGGTCCTAAATGAGAAGAACATGCAACCAAGAATACTTTATCAAGCAAGGCTCTCATTCAAAATGGAAGGAGAGATAAAGAGCTTCCAAGACAGGCAGGAACTGAAAGAATATGTGACCTCCAAACCAGCTCTGCAAGAAATTTTAAGGGGGACTCTTAAAACTCCCCTTTAAGAAGAAGTTCAGTGGAACAATCCACAAAAACAAGGACTAAACAGATATCATGATGACACTAAACTCATATCTGTCAATAGTAACTCTGAACGTGAATGGGCTTAATGACCCCATCAAAAGGCGCAGGGTTTCAGACTGGATAAAAAAGCAGGACCCATCTATTTGCTGTCTACAAGAGACTCATTTTAGACAGAAGACACCTACAACCTGAAAATAAAAGGTTGGAGAACCATCTACCATTCAAATGGTTCTCAAAATATACCCTAAAAACTATAGAACACTTCTGAAAGAAATTGAGGAAGACACAAAGAGATGGAAAAATATTCCATGCTCATGGATTGGCAGAATTAATATTGTGAAAATGTCAATGTTACCCAGGGCAATTTACACGTATAATGCAATCCCTATCAAAATACCATGGACTTTCTTCAGAGACTTAGAACAAATTATTTTAAGATTTGTGTGGAATCAGAAAAGACCCCAAACAGCCAGGGGAATTTTAAAAAAAGAAAACCATAGCTGGGGGCATCACAATGCCAGATTTCAGGTTGTACTACAAAGCTGTGGTCATCAAGACAGTGTGGTACTGGCACAAAAACAGACACATAGATCAGTGGAACAGAACAGAGAACCCAGAAGTGGACCCTGAACTTTATGCTCAACTAATATACGATAAAGGAGGAAAGACGATCCACTGGAAGAAAGACAGTCTCTTCAATAAATGGTGCTGGGAAAATTGGACATCCACATGCAGAAGAATGAAACTGGACCACTCTCTTGCACCATACACAAAGATAAACTCAAAATAGATGAAAGATCTAAATGTGAGACAAGATTCCATCAAAATCCCAGAGGAGAACTCAGGCAACACCCTTTTTGAACTTGGCCACAGTAACCGGAGAAGGACAAACAGTGTATGTTCTCATTCATTTGGGGAATATGAATAATAGTGAAAGGGAATATAAGGGAAGGGAGAAGAAATGTGTGAGAAATATCAGAAAGGGAGACAGAACATAAAGACTTCTAACTCTGGGAAATGAACTAGGGGTGGTGGAGGGGGAGGAGGGCGGGGGGTGGGGGTGAATGGGTGACGGGCACTGAGGGGTACACTTGACGGGATGAGCACTGGGTGTTATTCTGTATGTTGGTAAATTGAACACCAATAAAAATTAATTTATAAAATTAAAAAAAATATATAACAGTGATGTAGGTTAAACTCTTATACCCTAACAAAGCCCAAAATACAATAACGTGAATAAAAGTGTTTTTTTCATACTTCTAGATGGAGGAGGCTAGGACTAGTAGGAAGATTCTGACAACCGCCATACATAGCTTCCATAAACAGTTGCAAGGTGCTGCTTCAGGTGGTCCTGTTAGGCAGTGTGAAGGAGAGAAAGCACAGGGGGATACATGTAGCTAGTCCTTTATGGGGGCATGACCCGGAGGTGACACATTACAGAGTCATACCGAGTGAGGTCCAGGGCAGGGTAGGAAAGATAAAACTGTGTGGCTTTACATCAGTTGAAAGTCAGGATTTTGTTAAGAAAAAAGGGGAAAACAAATTGGCTGATAATCTTTACCACTACCCTTGCTTTTGGTAAAGTTTTATTCTGTAACCTGTGAGTGAAATATTTTGTTTGACTTTGCTATTTTTTTTAAAGATTTTATTTATTTATTCATGAGACACACACACACACACAGAGAGACAGAGAAAGAGAGAGAGAGAGAGAGAGGGAGAGGCAGAGACACAGGCAGAGGGAGAAGCAGGCTCCACGCAGGGAGCCCTACGTGGGACTGGATCCCGGGGTCTCCAGGATCACGTCCTGGGCTGAAGGCAGCGCTAAACCGCTGAGCCACCCAGGTTGCCTGACTTTGCTATTTTAATTTAAAAAGTGGTATTTGCAAGGATAGATAATTCCTATTAATGTTCCTTGATTTCTCGGTTGCCATTATAATATATAACTTAGTTTTTAAAGACGTCTTTGAGAAATCTCATTTTCTGTTCATCATTTGTATCCCTCATTCACATTTTGGGTTAGTTTGATTTCTCTGAAGAAAATAAATTTGTGGCAAATGTTTTAGATTGCTTCGGGATACTTGAAACCATTCTGTGTAAGCCTCAAACCTGCATAAGTAGGCTACAGCAGCTTGTCATGTGATTTATGTATTCTGTGATATTCTACAGCTGGATGAGTCTTATACTGCTCTTCATACTTTACTCTTGAGAGTTCTCTCTTTCCGCTTTCATACTTTTCTACACATCTGAATTCTACCTACCCATTTAGACCTACTGGGAGTTTCCTCACTCTCACCTAGCTTTTGTGTAGGGTGAAGATTGTGATCAGAGTTGTGGGTTTGACCTCCGGCAAGTTGCTAAATCTCTTGAGGTTTGATTTCTTCATATAAAATGGAGGTGAATACCAAGAGGCAGAGATAATACGAAGATTAGATAAATATCTTCTATAACACTTGTTGTACTACTCAACAAATACTAAGCACTCAATAAATCATAATTACGCTATTCCCACTCATGACTCCTTGAGTTCCAGCACTTGGAGACTACACTCTTTTTCTTTTCTTTTTTTTCCCCAGGTTATTTTCTCTGACAAGTTTATGAATTCCTTGAATTCCTTAAGAACTAGTACCAAATTCTGGATATACTGGGGTCCCTAAATAATGATTTAGTGAATTGGAGCTGGCATATATAAGAATATTTATGAGATTAAAACTCTGAGGGCTTTTTCTTTAGTTTTCCTGTTGTGATCGCATCATGGAAAATCAGTTGGCTAAATCAGCTGAAGAACGAACATTTCAGTACCAGGATTCTCTTCCATCTCTGCCTGTTCCTTCACTTGAAGAATCATTAAAAAAATACCTTGAATCAGGTATGTTTGTAATCTTTTAGTATATGTTAATATTATTAGCAACATAGAAAACTATGAAATTATTAGAAGTTGATGAGGGTCTAATTGCTTTTTCCTTTAGGCTCTTGATAATTAAAATATCCTTAAAATGTCCAGAACTTGGGGCACCTGGCTGGCTCAGTCAGTTAAGAATCCAACTCTTGATTTGGGCTCAGGTCAGGATCTCAGAGTCTTGAGATAGAGCCTTGCACTGGGCTCCGAGCTGGTTATGGAGCCTGCTTAAGATTCTCTATCTCCCTCTGCCACTCCTCGCCCAAACAAAAAACAAACAAAAAACATTTTAAAATGTCCAGAACTTTTCTGTCTTTATTTCTCAAGTAATTTTTTCTGTAGTTTAAAAAACCACATAGTACTATTAAGTTTGTAATTATAAAAGTAGTAGGCCTCTGCCTTATTCAGTACTGCCACCCCAATCCCACTCCCTCAGGCAAATATTTTCAAGTAGTTTATCTTTTGTTTGTATTGTTTATCTCTGGATTTAAAGTAACACTTTAATACTACTATTTCTTAGGGTTTTGTAAATTGTAGATATTATAAATTTGTTCCTAAAAAGATGAGGATTAGGTCTTTCACACCTTTAAGCTTCCCCCTGTTCACACTCAACGTATAGGCAATCCATCATAATGATATTTTCCTTTTCATTCTTTCAGTATAGTTGTACAAAATCACCATTTGGGATTAAATTAGTATTCACCTGATTTAATTCCAGGTTTCACTTGATTTAAATCAATATGTACCAGAGTTAATTTACTCAACCATTTAGGGTTTATTGTTATGCAGTTATTCACAAGAGAACCATTCAGTGTACTTTGGTTGCCTCTTTGCGTGTTTGTTTTGTTTTGCTCATTTGATATTTGCTTACTTTGCTTTGTATCCTTAAGAATTCACTCCCAAATACTTCAGTATACTGAAAGTCCCTGACTACATTATATACATTATATATGATACATACATATGTACATATACATACTTTATATACATAAGCTATTCTTTCATTTTCATTTCTTGGGAACATCCCTCCTGGGGCCCTCTTCCCTCTTGCTCCAAGTAGTGTGTACTTTTCTTGAGTTGGCTGGACCACTGCTAATCCTGGAGCTTTCCTTCCCTGTCTCTGACAGTTCTTTTTACCCCTCTCCCCTTGGAATCTTGGATTTCCTGGTTGTCTTTCTTTTTATTTGTCTTTTCACCTGTATTTGTGAAGTACATCTTTAGTAGCTGCTTGATAAAAGTTTCTGGGGAGGAAAGAATGTAAAACCTAAACATTTATTCTTCCCTCATACTTGGTTGTATGGCTGGGTATAGAGTCTTCTGGATTGGAAATGAGTTTTCTTAAGAGTTTTGAAGGTATTGTTCCTCCTGAGGAGTTCATCCTGAGATGCCCCTTTGTTCGATCCTTTGTGACTTGTTTTTTACATTCTGGATATGTTTGGAAACCTTTTTCTTCATTCCTACCATCTGAATTTCTTGATGTTCCTTAGTGTATAGATTTTTTCATTTATTTCTCTGAATATACAGTAGGTTCTTTTAAGTTTAAAAATTCATGTTATTCAGTTCTAGGACATTTTAAAAATATTGTTTCTTGGATAGTGTTCTCTTCCTTTTGCCTTCTCTTTCTGGAATCATATTTATTGGATCTGGAGCATTCTGGACTGAGCTTTTAATTAAAAAATTATTTCCCTCATTATTAGTGCCTTTCCTTCTAATCTGTTTACTCTTTTGTACCACCAATCCTATTTCTGCTTATTCTGCTCTTTGATTGTCATGTGAGAGGCTTTTCTCAAGTATCTGACAATCATTTGTCATTCATTTTTGAGAGTTAGGTTCTAAGAGATGCCTGGGTGACTCATTGGTTGAGCAGCTGCCTTTGGCTCAGAGTGTGATCCCGGGTCCTGGGATCAAGGTCCGCATCAGGCTCCCTGAAGCCTGACTGTGTCTCTCTCTGCCTGTGTCCATGCCTCTCTCTCTGTGTCTCTCATGAATAAATAAAATCTTAAAAAAAAAAAAAAAAGACTTATGCCCTAAAAAGCTGATTGAGAGCTCTGTGTGCATGGATAGGGGCTTTCCCAGTGGGCCTTCTAGTGAACCTTGTTTCTGAGATCTAGCAGTTCCACTTGCCATGCCCAGATATCAGTAATACTTTCACTTAGACTGATCTGTTTCCCCAGAGAAGAATCCTCTTTTGTTTAGAAGGCATGAGCCTGATGTCTAGTGTTTTGGCAGCTAAGGAGGGGAAGGAGGCTGGAGGGCTCATTGTTCTGGGTGTACACTTTAATAAGAGTCTTTTTTTCAGTATGGATTAGGATCTGTGTATACTGCTTGCTTGCTGGTTTAATTTCTCCTTAAGATTAGACCTCTAGTTTCTCCTGGCATTGGTAGGAAATTGCCTGGCTATCCAGAATGGAGAAAGATTTGCAGGGGTGGGTGTAGATGGGGTGGTTGTATGCTCCTTCTGAACACTTATAAGCAACCTGTTTTCAGTCTCTTTGCCCCCTGTGGAAGTCCATTTACCTTGAATTCTTGAACCTTTTTGGGGTTCTACTGCAGAAACTGGCTGACTTCTTGGTGTGCACCTTACCCTACCTGGTAGGGTAGGTACCTTCCACTCTCCAGGTTTTAGATATTAACTTTCTTCTTTCTACAGATTCAGTCACCATTTTCTCATCTGATTTCTAATTTGTGAAATGGTAGCTTAACTAGTCTGCTGCCGTCTACATTCATATTCTTTGTTCTTCTAGATTTATGCCTTTTTAATTACTGTCATTTTAGTAAGCTTCTAGAAGTATTAGAGATAAATGTATGCATTTAGTTCACTTTGTTTAACTGAAAGTCATCTGATATTTTTTTTCTTTTTTTCTTTTTCTTCATTTATTTTTATCTGGGAATTCTAGTTTCTTTTTTTAAATTTACTGATTATTCACTCTTTTGATTATTCATTTTGCTTGTACTTTTTCTAAATATAGCTATTTAAATTGACTTTAAGATAGTATGTTGAAGGGGGGCACCTGGATGTCTCAGTTGGTTAAGTGTCTGCCTTTGGCTCAGGTCATGATCTCAGGGAGCCTGCTTCTCTCTCCCTCCCTCTGTGGCTCCTGCTGCTTGTGCTCTCTCATTCTTGCTCTAAATAAATAAATCTCTAAAAGAAAAAGATAGTACTTTGAAGAGACAAAACAGAAGGAAGATATTAAACAATAGATTTTCATTTTCATGGACTAGGGACTCTCTCCCCACCCTTGTTTTTTGTTTGTTTTTTTTTTTTTTTTTGGGAAGAAACCATTATTGGCTCTGGGCAGGCTTTATACTTAAATTTACATATATATTGCATTTACATACATGATGTTCAAGGCTCTGAACATTAGTGGAAAGAAGCCTTAATTTTATTCATGGCTAAACAGGATTTACTTTTCTGTTGGACCAATACCTAGGTGATAGTCCTGTCTTTATCATTTTAATTTCATTATCCAGAATGATTTTAAAATAATTTTTCAGAAAATGTTTATCAGATTACACAGTATCCACTGTTTAATTTTTTACAGCATTTTGCAGTGTTGCTTTTCAATCATTTTCATGTTGTAAAATCTATTACAATTTATTGGACTGCTGTGATAATTAAGGCATACATAATTGAATCTCAGTATTTGTGTAATGATGGAGATAAGTTTGTGCTACTTGATGTCTAAATATTTAAATGCATATTTTTTCCTTATAGTAAAGCCGTTTGCAAATAAAGAAGAATATAAAAAAACTGAAGGAATTGTTCAAAAATTTCAAGATGGTATTGGAATGAAACTGCACCAGAAATTACTGGAAAGGGCAAAAGGAAAAAGAAATTGGGTATTTATGTTATTGTACTTATAATTAGAAAATTGATGATATTTAAAGAATGAAAAATAAAAATGTCAGTAGCTTTCATTTTAAAATTATTAGTGTAAATATCCTTGCAGTCATTGTCACAGTCATCCAAAAGAACTAATGAATTGTTTAGCTCCAGGGAGTTTTGAGTGTTATGTGTGAGATCCTGTCTTGTCAAAATACAGATTTCCTAGGACCAGTGATTCTGAATGGGGGCCCAGAAACCCTTGTTTTAACAACTGTCCCATGTGGTTCTGGTAAAAGTGATCTGTAGACCTTGCTTGTGAGAAACATTTTGTTCAGGTAAGCCTAGCCTAAAAAACCTCCAGACACTAAAAATAGACTTATCACATAGGTGGCATACAAATATTTAAACATCGTATGGGAGAGAAAGGACCATTACAAAATTGAAGAATGGTTATCAGTATTACATCTTTCAGTTAGATAGATTGAAGGGGAGATGTTGGTATAATAATTACTGAGGCAAGCAATAATTTTCTACAAGGAATCTTTGATTTCTTCAGCCTAACTACTTCTGTAATATGAACCAGAGGGTAAGTTTTCATATTTAAAAAACATTGCTTTAATCTAGAAATAATGATTGTAATTATCTTTAAGCTTTAGAAATAAAAAGTAAGCTGATCTTTTCATTAGTCATTGATACCTATAATGGAATAATAAAATTTTATACTTCCAGATTCTTTTATTCTCAATCTTGAGCGATTTTTTAATTAAATCAGGGTAAAGGGAAAGAAGTCTGTGTCCTTTTTGCTTATTTATTTTTCTGAATAATTGATTATAGTTTATAACATCAGTTTCTTAAGAAATAACTCCAGATAATTTGATGAGATCTGCTTACTTATGCTTGAAATTCAATTGCATATTGTGAAAGAGGGACACAGCACTGTCTGTGAAAAATCTAGGTTAGTTTTAAGTGTACTGAAAAGGTTTTATATTTCTGATTTAGTATTTTAGTTTTCTCTTGGAAAAGGAAAATTGCAAATGCCCTAATATTTTTTACAATGAAGTGAAGGTTTGTTTTATATATATTGTACCTAGGTGCTCTGAGAAAACAAACCTAAGTACTTTGGTATTTGTGACTCCAATTTTTTGTCTGAAAAGATGCCTTTTCAGTGCTTTCTTGTTGCCTGTTTTTGGTAATGTAGTTAAACTGAATAGTATTGAGATCCTACAATTTCAGAAGAAAGAAATGATCACAAAAGCATTTCTCAAAATATAAGTTGATTTTAAAACAAGAAAATGTTTTATTTTTTTGTTTTTAAAACAAACTTACTGAGGTAAAATTAATTATAATAAAATCTGTTGCCCGTGTACAATTGGATATGGGTAAGAAAACATGTTAAGTGTTAGCAGTAAAGAGAAAAGAACAAATAACAGCTTTTTTTTTTTCTTCCTGCAGTTACACATTCAAGTTTCATTAGGTTGATGTTCTTAATTTCTTTTAGCTGGAAGAATGGTGGCTGAATTTTGCCTATCTGAATGTTCGTTTACCATCACAACTAAATGTCAATTTTGCTGGTCCTGGACTTTACTTTGAACACTACTGGCCTCCGAAGGAAGGCACTCATTTGGAAAGAGGAAGTATATATCTTTGGCATAACTTGAACTACTGGCAGCTACTAAGAAAGTAAGGACAGTTGTGTGAATTTTGTAACAGATTTACCTAAGTTTCAGGTGGCAAAATATTGAGAAAACTTATTTACTTGTTTGAGTATACTACAGTTGTGACTACTTGGTTTATAAGTTTTATAATGACTTGTTGATCAAAATACTTTTTGTTTGTTTTAATAGAGAAAAAGTACCAGTTGATAAAAGTGGAAATACTCCTCTAGATATGAATCAGTTCCGAATGCTGTTTTCTACCTGCAGGATTCCAGGGATTTCTAGAGATTCAATTAAAAGTTATTTTAGGACTGGTAAGTGGAAAACCTGAGTGCTTTTTTCTGATAAAGGCATTGGGATTTGGGTGGTTTTGCTGCAGTTTCTACTATGCCACTATGGAACATACTATTTCAAATATTTCTTTACTGGATTTTGACTAATCAGAGGCTTTCTGTGAACCTTTTAGTCATTGTGATTTGTCAGAAATAATTTATGGGAATGGATTTTATAAACTGTACCTTATATTGTTATATATAAAACCTGAAGCCTAAGTTGTGTCATTTGAGGGTTTAAATTAATTAATTAATTAATTAATTAAATTAATCGGTATTAGGAAATCTGGAGCATATGATTTGGATCTGTCTCTGACCTCTCCATATTTGAATTCTCCTTTTGATTATGCTTGTCTGTGTTTATCATGCCCCATTTTTCTTTGTGAGTATGCCCTCCCTTCCACCTTGAGCAGTCTAAGGTGAGAGCCTGGTATCAGTCTTCTTGAAGACATATGAGTTCAGATAGACTAATCAAAGTGTTTGTTTCTACTGCCAGTTTAATGGCCAATTCTGCTTGGTGTACCAGCGTATCTTGAAATGGAAAATTCTGTTTTAAGTGCTGGTTTCCGGTTGTTTCAGGATCTTTTTCTTTTTAGAATTTTAATAATATAGTTTATAGTTACTGTGGAATGTAATTATGAAAGGATATTTTTCTTACCTGAAATTTCATTTAAAAGTAAAATTTCTACAACCAATTTTGCTTGTAGTGTGGGAAGAATGAGTTTACTTTCATGTAGAACTCAACTCCTCTTCATAAACCTCATTAGATGTTTGAGATATTTAGTGTCCTCAAACTCACTCATATTTATCTTGATATTACAAGTGAAGGATGTGGGTATTTATGGCATAAAGTTTGCTAAATGCCCAAATATGAATAGAAAAGATGAGCAGGAGAAAACGGAGAATAGCAGTAGCAAAGAGAAAAATATGCCTATCAGGATCTAATATCAGTAGACTTGGTTTTCAGTTCAATCTTTATCACTTCATAGGTCCTTAGATAAGGTAATCCTTTAAGTTATAATGTGTAAAATGCAGATTCACTAATAACGTGTCTCTTAATGTAGTCCTTTAAGCTGTCATGGCTAGTATATTCTTATACTTAAGACCATGTGAAGTGTCTTAAGAGGTGTAGATAGGGATAAAGCTGAGGGAATAACTAAACAAAAAAATAACAGTAATAAATACTATATAGAGAATTCAAATAACATGAGTAACTGGGTGGCTATTTTAGAGTAGGTAATCAGAGAAAGCCTTTCTAAGGATCTGAATGATATGATGATCCAGCAGTTTTTTTGCTTTTTGTTTTTATCTAGTTCAGTTTTTTGTTTCATGTGTTGAGGAAGGAATCCTGTAGGCATGAATAAACTTGGAATGTTCACAGGGGAATATGGATGGGGGCAGAGTAAGCAGGAGGCAGAGTGGACGATTAGAGTGTTGATTAGAGGCTGGATTGTATAGTACTTTGGAAGCCAACTAAGGTTTTTGGCTTTTATTTAAAATGCGAGTAGATAGTTTTGAGAAAGAAAGTGACGTGATCAGATTTGTGTTTTCAAAAGATGATTCTACCACTGTTTGAGGAATAAGATTTTTAGAAAACAGATCAGAGTAGAAGCAGGGAGATCAGTTAGAAAATTGTTTTAGTAGTCCAAGAGAGCCATAATAATGACTTGTAACTAGGGTGATAGCATGATGCTGGTAAAAAGTTGTTAGATTCTGGGTATATTTTGGATTTGAGTTTAGTAGAATTATTTATAGATTGGTTGTGAGATGTGAGAGAAAAGGGGGAATCAGAGATGACTTCAGGATATTTGGCTTGAGTAATGATAAGATAGGTGTGTTGGTTCATGAGGGGAAAATTTGGGAGGAAATATTTAGGGAGGAAATTAGGAGGTCCCTGAGGCCATGTTGAATTTAAGATGCCTTTTAGACATCAAAGTGGAAATGCAAGTAGGTAGTTAGATACAAAGTTTGGAGTTTGGGAAAGATTTCAGTACTACATGTAAAGATTTAGGAATCACCATTAGTAGGCATCAAAAACATTTTTAAGGCTCCAAGAGTGGCTAAAGTTACTTTTGTAACACATATAGGTGAAGATTATCAGGAGAAGCTGTACTGATTATTACCACAATTAAATAGGGTATTTGGTAGTCTGAAGAGGAGAACACAGCAAAAAAAGACCCAGATGGGAAGAAAGAAAGGGGCAGTGGCCTCCCAGAAGCCAAGAGAAGGAAGTGTATCGAATGCTCCAGAGGCCAGATGAGATACAAATTGAGTGACTATTGTATTTATTGACATAATGGGGACAGAATCTTCCCTGACAAGAGCAGTCTTAGTGGAAGTTGGGTAAGGGAGCTCAACTGGAGAAAATGAAAGCAAACCAAATAAGTACTGATAAATAAAGCTTACAGAAAGTTTTCATGTGCAGTGGGAGATATTCAATTATTTTTTTTAAAAAAATTAGTGATATTATAAAATAGGAATGACATGGGAGAGAAAGAAAGCAGGGAAAAGAATGAAGTCATTGAAAAGTCATTGAAAAACCAAAGTCATTGAAAAGATAAGAGCCGAGAGAGTCAAGAGTAGAATTGGTCTTTGGGAGCAACGATGAGAAGGAATGCAAAAAGTGTGCATCGAGATGCAAACAGATTGGCCAGTTTTGTTGTGGGAAGGTGAGGACGTCTATGTATGCCTTGTGTTTTCCTTGGTGAAATGAAAACTGAGGTCATTAGGTGGGTAGAAAATTTGAGAAGAAAGGGGAAGGTTTAAAATACTAGGCATTTTGGGAGGCTGCCTGGGTGGCTCAGTTGATTACGCGTCTGACTCTTGGTTTCCACTCAGGTCATCATCTCAGGGTTATAGGATGGAGCCCCATGTTTGGCTCTGCACTCAGCATGGAAGCTGCTTGGTGTTCTCTCTCTCCCTCTGCCTCTCCCTCAGGTCTCTCTCTCTCTTTCTTTAAAATTAAATAAAATCTTAAAAAAAAATAGAAGACAGTCATTTTGGAAAGTGGGAGAAGCAAATGTATTATGGGAATGTAGGGTAGCTGATCAGTGTTGAGTGCCCATTTGAAATGGTTTGTTTATGAATTTAAAGTGAGATTAGATGGTATGTTGTGTTTTTTTCCTTCAGCAGCAATCAGATGGAGAGGGAGAGAGTGAAGAATTTAAGGGCTTTACAAGAAAAATTAAAATGCTGGGCCATGGAATCTATCTTTGATACAGAGAAAATCGAAGAGATTATGCATGTGAAGGGAGCATGTAAGTTGTTATGGCTAAGAGGATAGTGTCATTAAGGAGGCGCAATAGTTAGAACTATTTTTATTTTTACTTACCCCTTAAGAGACTATTAAGGCTAATTCAGTCATTTCTTTTACCCTGTTTACCTCATTTTGCTCAAGCAGTTCAAACCTCTCAGGTAGTCTGTTAACATCTGGGTTCAGGGATTTGTGCATAGCTTGATTTGATCCAAGTTTCCTACAAATGTGATCCACCCTCCCTCCCTTTCCCAGTGTCTTCTAATGTACTTTTTGGAGCTCATGGTCAGCAAAACCCTTTATATCCTCAACCTTTTCTTTGAAAGTACCTGTTTCCTTCTGAACGGTACTGTTGCTGAACTTGGTTATTCTTTGAGCTTACTGCATTCCCTATAACCATCTCAGGTGGGTATATTTTTTCTCATGCTTTGGTACTAGATGGTATGTAAGAGATATTGGTGTCCTTTTTATTTCCGGTCGCCCTTGTCCCTTTTCCTTCTTTATTAGAGTTTGAGCTCTTAAAAGAAGGAAAGCTATCAGGTTATGTCACCACTGCTTGTCGTTGTGGTAGTGACCTTTACTTTGTAAAAAAATTTTTAATTTAAATTCATATTTAATTAACATATACTGTATTATTAGTTTCAGAGGTAGGATTTAATATCCCCCCCCATTGCTTTATCATCAGTCCCACTATCCTTCTTTCCATTACTACCTCATTCACCTTTTGATGACTTTAGCTTCCAGGTGTAGTTGATCCATGACCTCTCCTTTCCTTCACTTTTTCCCTCTAGTAATCTGTACCTCCGTACCTCCTCAAGCACACACTCTTGCGCTCATGCCTTAGAACTTGTTATTAAGAAACTCTCATCTCCTCTGACATAGAAATTATAAGCATCTCATTCTGCTCTCTACCTTTTCTTCACAACTCCTTTCCTTTTGAAGTCTACCTTAGATATTTCTTTGACCACATTGTGCTTAAATTGAGTTATGCTACAGTTCTTCACAATTCCATTCCTCCCTCCTCTACCCTCAGTCTGTACCTCTGTCCTTCTCCACTGTAATCCCTCCTTTGCATACACATTCAAACTTTTGCCCATTGACTCCCTCACGACTCTACCCACACCTCATTACTGTTAAATTTTAATCTTCTGTCTTACCTCAACACATTAAAGATACCTACCCTAGCAATTTACTTGGCCTGAGAAAACCAGAAAACCTCATTTAATCTTCACAAACCTCAAGTGGATCCATAGCATGACTTTGTCATATTATTTTGTCAGGTTATTCTCTCCCTTCCAGAGAGACTGTTTCATACCTTTCTCCTTCCTTAGTCTCAGCTAATGAACTCTTATTCTCATCAAATGTAAAGCTCTTTCCATCATTAAATTTACTCTCCTATCTGTTAGGCAAAATAATGCCTCCCCAGCTCCCCAGAGATGGTTGTTTCCTAATCCTTGGAACCTGTTGAATGTATTAGGTTACGTAGTAAAGGGGAGTTAAGGTTGCAGATGAAATTAAGGTCATTAATCAGTTGACCTAGACATGGGAAGATTATTCTGGATTATTCATGTGGGTACAAAGGAATCACAAGAGTTCTTTTAAGTGAAAAGAGAGGCAGAAGAGAAAACTAAATTGATGGCAGCAAATTGATAAAAAGTTGTGATCCTCCGTTGATGGCTTTGAAATGGAGGAAGAGAGCCCTGAATCCAGGAATGTGGGCAGCTTCTAGAAGCTGGAAAAGCAAAGGACATTGATTCCTACTTAATGCTTCTAGAAGGAACACAGCCATGTTGACACTTTCATTTTAGCCCACTGAGATGCATTTCAGACTTCTGGTCCCCAGACCTGTAAGATAATAAATTTGTGTTATTAGTGGTAATTTGTTACAACAGTCATAGAAAACATACTCATTCAAATATTTTCTCATCCTGCAACCCCCTTGCAAGACATTGTTGTATGTTCATATACTTTGTCTTCCCTTGTTTAAACGGATGAACTGCTCTGACTCGTAAAGATAGCTCATCTGTATGGTGCACTGGGTCCCACCTCTGTGGGACCTGTATTATCTCTCATCTTAAAAAAAAAAAAAAATTGACCTCTTGTCTCCTTCAAGTGTCACACCCCAGTTAAAGCCACCGTCACTTTTCATTTAGAGCATTCTGACCTGGACTACTTTAGTTACTTCCCAACTGATCTTGCTGTATATTCTCTTCCCTTTTATGATCTCTTCTCCATATAGCAGTGTGAGTGACCTTTTTAAAGTACTAATGAGATTGCATTATTAATCTCCTGCTTAAAACCCTCCATAGGCTTCCTTCCCATCATATTTAAAATTGAAAATGCTTTCTGTGGCCAGTATAGGCTGGCCCAAGCTTGTCTACCATTCTAACCTTTTCTGTCTCTACTATGAGTGTACTGACTTTTTTTTTTTTTAAAGCAAACTATCTCATTTTGTCTTAATGCCTTGGCACTTGCTGTTTCCTCTGCCTAAAACTCTCTTCCTGCAGATATTTCTATGGTTTACTCCTTAACTGCATTTAGCCTTGTGTTAAAATATCCCCACATAGGCCCATCCTGAGGTAATGCCCTTGTGTCATGCCACCCTTCCAACATCTGTTGATTATTTTGTCATCAGTCTTACTTTCTTTTTTCTTTTCCAGCCCTAGATTTTGAATAGGATGTGGTCAGTAAATGACAGCAAAAAGGATATAGTATTAAATGTAGAAAGATACAGCGGTTTTTGAAGGAGAAGAGGGAAGAAATATTTTGGAAGTAGCCATGAAGAACAAGGAAAATACATACCTCACCTACTAGGACTTGAGGAAATAGGATATAAGAGAAAAAAAGTGCTATCAGGAGATAGTGTTTCCTTGATAGTTGATGGATTCCATGAGATAATGTGTATGAAACATTTACTATAGTTCCTTGTACATAATATCAACCAGTAAATTTCCTTCCATTGGTAGTATATGTCTTCTCTGTCTTTTTCTTTTTTCTTAGATGGAAGGGATAAGAGCAGGGATCATATAAGAAGCCCTGTGTTAAAGGGAATAATAAGTGAAAAAGTAGGCTAAATCAGAATAGTCTGAGATTTACAGTACAGAAGTAGTTTTTGGGGAGTTAAGGCATGCCCAAAGAATCATAGAATCAGTTATCTGTGGCTTCTCAGGTATCATTAGAACCTTAAGTAAAGCTAGATTTGGCAAAAGGCATTCTCCTTACTACTCAGGCAAACAATGCCCTTTCTCAACTGAAAACTATTTTATTTAGAAATCATAGCTAGTTACTACTGCAATTATCTGATGAGCAATCAACATTGAAATAAACCCAGAGAGTTCTTCTCCAGGATACCTTGCTACCTTTTTCCCTTGTCATTCCTATCCATAAATAAACTAGAAAGCCTTGCAGTAGTTTGGGATTTATACAAATCCCAAGGTGTACAAATCCTTGAAACTCCACAGGTTTTTGGATGTTTCACATGGACATTTTCAAGAGTGTATATTTATATCATGATTGAAAGTCCTTCACCTTATTATTGATATATGTTTGATGAGTATATGAAGTATTGGGGCAAGGATTATTTTCTTCTATTGGATGTAATTATGCAGTTTTACTCTTGTTTAATTTTGAGAGATTTAGTTTGTGTTTTTGTTTCTTTTTCCAGAGAGCGAAGGACATTCTCCATCTCACCTTACAGTGCTTTGTCGTGGCCGAGTTTTTGTCTTTGATACAATACAGGAAGGGTGTTTGATCACCCCACCAGAGATTTACAGGTTTTCAAACTACTTTCTTGAGTCTTGAGGTGTTAAACTTCTGCATGAGTTAAAAAAAATAAATGTTTAGAATTGCCTGTTTATAAGATGATAACAAGCTAAAAAATAAGAATTTTATGTGTGCTGATTTAAAAAAAATCTATTATTTTATTTTTAGTTTGAATTAATTTTTATTTGTACTAGATATATATTAGAAAAGGAAAAATAATTACAAATATTATCATTTCCATTTTTTGCCCCAGAATTAATCACTTTTACTAGTTTGATATATTCTATACTTCCGTATCTGTTGTAATGAAATTATATGCACATAAAAATTTGTAAAAAAGAATATTTTTTTTATACCTAGTATATAGTTAAATACATAACCTGTGACTATCAGTCTATGGATTTAAAATTTAAATTTGATGGTTATTTCACCTTTGGTTAAAGTTCTTAAATGGTTCTTTGTGGTCTAGAATAAAGTCCCAGTTCCTTAGCAGTGGTCTAAATTTGACCTTTGCCTGTCTTTTTAGCCTTGTGTCTGGCTCTTCCTCCTTGTGCATCTTCTATTCCTATCCCATTTCTGTGATAGCAATTCATTTTTTTTTTTTTTTTACAGTATGGCAGTAACTTATTTAGTGTTACCTCAGCTGCTTAAAGGCAAACCAATTTCAACAATATCTCATTTAATGTTTTATTCATTCATAAAAATAGAAATAAAAGTGTATGACAGTAGCAGGAAAGAGATCTTACATTTGTCTCCCGTTATGCAAATTAAACTTCCTTCATTTTTCTTGAAAAAGTCAAGATTGACAAATGCTGCAGCAGACAGATAAAATATGGTGTTATAATTACCTATGTAGAGCTACACAAAAAAGGAAATATTTCAAATGTATATAATTTCATCATAATTTCAATCATTACCTAATATTTTATTTATAAAACTGGTTTCCTTAGTTTAAAACTTATTTTTTGAGGGTGTGAACAAGGTTTTATTTTTCAATATATTTTTAATTTAAATTCAATTAATTAATATAGTATATTATTAGTTTCAGAGGTAGAGTTCAGTGATTCATTATTCTTATATAATACCCAATGTTCATTATATCACATGCCCTCCTTTAATGTCCATCACTCAGTTACCCCATCACCACACCTTCCTCCTCTCCAACAATCCTCAGTTTCCTATGATTGAGTCTCTTATGTTTCCCTCTTTGATTTCATCTTGTTTTATTTTTGCCTTGCTTCCCCCATGATCCTGTGTTTTGTTTCTTAAATTCCACATATGACTGAGATCATCTTTCTCTGATTGACTTATTTCACTTAGCATAATATCCTCTGGTTCCATCCATGTTCTTGCAAATGGCAGGATTCATTTTTTTGATGTCTGGGTAGTATTCCATTATATGTGTGTGTGTGTGTGTGTTTATGTATACATACATAAACACACACACATACATACATACATACATACCACGTCTTATTTATCTATTTATCTGCTGATGGACATCTTGGTTCTTTCCATAGTTTGGCTATTGTGGACATAGCTGCTCTAAACATTGGAGTGCAGGTGCCCCTTCCCTTCGGAGCACTCCATTATATCTTTTGGGGTAAATACCTATGACCCTACTGGGTCATAGAATAGCTCTATTTTCAACTTTTTGAGGAACCTCCAGACAGTTTACCAGACTAGCTGTACCAGCTTGCATTCCCACCAACAGTGTAAGAGAGTTCCCTTTCTCCTCCTCCTCACCAGCATTTGTCATTCCCTAACTTGTTCATTTTAGCCATTCTGACTATAAAGTAGTGGTATCCCAGTGTGGTTTTGATTTGTGTTTCCCTGATGCCGAGTGATGTAGAGCATTTTTTCATGTGTCTTTGGCCATTTGTACGTCTTTTTATGAGAAATGCCTGTTTGTGTCTTCTGTCCATTTCAAGGTGGGATTATTTGTTCATTGGATGTTGAGTTTGATTAGTTTTTGATAGATTTTGGATACCAGCCTTTTGCTGATAAGACATTTGCAAATATCTTCTCCCATTCTGTAGTTTGCCTTTAGTTTTGTTGGCTGTTTCCTTTGCTGTGCAAAAGCCTTTTATCTTGATGAAGTCCCCGTAGTTCATTTTTGCGTTTATTTCCCTTGCCTTTGGAGATGTGTCTAGCAAGGTCACAGAGGTTGTTGCCTGTGTTCTTCTCTAGCATTTTGATGGATTCCTGTCTCACATTTAGGTCTTTCGTCCAATTTGGCTCTATTTTTGTGTATGGTGTAAAAAAATGGTCCAGTTTCATTCTTCTGCATGTGGCTGTCCAGTGTTCCCAACACCCTTTGTTGAAGAGATGGTCTTTTTTCCATTAGATATTCTTTTCTGCTTTGTTGAAGATTAGTTGACCATAGAATTGAGGGTCCACTTCTGGGTTCTCTATTCTGTTCCATTGACCTGTGGGTCTATTTTTGTGCCAGTACCCCACTCTCTTGATGATTACAAATTTGTAATAGAGCTTGAAGTCCAGAATTGTGATGCTACCAGCTTTGGTTTTCTTTTTTAATGTTTGTTTGGCTACTTGGGGTCTTTTCTAGTTCCATACAGATCTTAGGGTTTTTTGTTCCAACTCTGAAGAAAGTCCGTGGTATTTTGACAGAGATTGCATTGAAGGTATAAATTACTCTAGGTAGCATAGACATTTTAACATTTGTTCTTCCAGTCCATGAGCATGGAACATTTTTCCATTTCTTTGTGTCTGCCTCAATTTCTTTCATGATTGTTCTAGTTTTCTGAGTGCTGATCCTTTGCCTATTTCATTAGGTTGTTTCCTAAGTATCTTATGGTTTTGGGATCCCCCTTCACAGCATTCTACTTGTCCAGTTCTGAAAAGGAGGGTTATGAAAAGGCATTCAGCCAAGAAAGACAACAAGAAATTTTGAGAAGAGCAACAAGGAACTTACCAATCTATGCCTCATCAGCTTCAAGGAGTAAGAAAAACCAGTCTTAAGCTTTCCTTTCCAAAGAATTTTTAAAATATGATTAATCCTGCCATGATAATCTGCATGAATCGGCAATTAAATGGATATTGTTGGCATATAGTTTCTCATAATATGTTCTTATAATTGTATTTCTAGGTATTGGTTGTGATCGCTCTTCTTTTATTCATCATTTTATTTATTTGAGTCTTTTTTCTTTTTGATAAGTCTGGTCAGGAGTTTGTCGATCTTATTAATTCTTTGAAAGAACCAGCTCCTGGTTCATTGATCTGTTCTGTTCTTTTGGTTTCTGTTTCATTGATTTCTACTCTAATTGTTAGTAATTCTCTCTCTGGGTTAGTCTTAATTGCTGTTCTTTCTCCAGCTTCTTTAGGTGTAAGGTTAGGTTGTGTATTGTGATCTTTCTTGTTTCTTGAGAAAGACTTGTATTGCTATAGACTCCCCTCTGAGAACCACCTTTGCTGCATCCCAAGAGTTTGGAAGAGTTCTGTTTTCATTTTCATTTGTTTCCATGAATTTTTAAAATTTTTCTTTAATTTCCTGGTTGACCCATTCATTCATTGGTAGGATGCTCTTTAGCCTCCATGTATTTGAGTTCTTTCCAAATTTCCTATTGTGATTGAGTTCCAGTTTCAAAGCATGTGGTCTGCAAACATGCAGATCCCAGTCTTTTTTTATCAGTTGAGACCTGATTTGTGACCCAGTATGTGATCTCTTCTCGAGAATGTTCCATGTGCACTCGTGAAAAATGTGTATTCTGTTGTTTTTGGATGGAATGCTCTGAATATATGTGTGAGGTCCACCTGGTCCAGTGCATCATTCAAAGCCCTTATTTCCTTGTTGAACTTCTGCTTAGATGAAGAGTGGGGTGTTAAGGTCTCCTACTATTGTTGTATTATTGTCGATGTGTTGAGTTTTGTTTTTAGTTGGTTTATTTAATTGGCTGCTCCCATGTTAGGGGCAGACATATTTACAATTGTTAGATCATCTTGTTGGATAGACCCTTTAAGTATGATCTCTTATTACTGTCTTTGGTTTAAAATCTAATCTGTCTGATATAAGGACTGCCACCCCAGCGTTCTTTTGATGCCCATTAGCATAACAAATGGTTTGCCATGCCCTCATTTTCCACCTGGAGGTATCTTTGGGTCTAAAATGAGTCTCTTACAGACAGCATATTGATGGGTCTTGCTTGTTAATCTAATCTGATACCCTGTGTCTTTTGACTGGGGCATTGAGCCCACTTACATTCAGAGTAACAATCGAAAGAAGGGAATTTAGGGAATTGGATTGCCTGTAAAGTCACTCTTTCTGTGGATTGTCTCTGTTCCTTTCTGCTCTGTGTTGGTTTGGGCTCTCTTGGGATCACTTAAGGGATGCCCTTTAATGTTTCTTGCAGGGCTGGATTCATGATCACAAACTCTTTTCGATTCTGTTGGTCCTGGAAGCCCTTTCTCTCTCCTTCTATTTTGAATGACAGCCCTGCTAGACAGAGTATTCTTGGCTGCATATTTTTCTCATTTAGCACCCTGAAAATATCATGACAGTCCTTTCTGGCCTGCCAGGTGTCTGGGGATAGGTCTGCGGCCAGTCTAATGTTTCTACCCTTGTAGATTATGGACTTGTCCTGAGCTGCTTTCAGGATTTTCTTTTTGTCTCTGAAATTTGCAAGCTTCACTATTATACGTCAAGGTGCTGACCTAGTTTTAATGATTTGCGGGGGTTTCTCTGTGCCTCCTGGACTTGAACACCTGCTTCCTTCCCCATATTAGGGAAGTTCTCTGATTTAATTTGCTCCAATATACCTTCTGCCCCTCATCTCTTTCCTCTTCTTCTGAGACCCCAATTATTCTAATGTGCTTTTGCTTTATGGTCAAGGCTATCTCTCAGATTCTCCCCTTGTGATCCAGTATTTGTTTCTCTCTTTTTTTCTCAGGTTCTTTATTCTCCATCATTTTGTCCTTTATATCACTGATTCTCTGTTCTTCTTCATTTATCCTAACAGTTAGAGCCTCCATTTGATTGCATCTCATTAATAGTCTTTTTGATTTTTGACTCGATGAGATTGTAGTTCTTTTATTTCTCCAAAAAGGGATTCTCTCACGTCCTCTCTGTTGTTTTCAAGCCCAGCTAGTATCTTCATAATTGTTATTCTGAACTCTAGTTCTGACATTTATATCCATACTGATTAGGTCCCTGGCAGTCAGTACTGCCTCTTGTTCTCTTTTTTGAGATGGGTTTTCCATCTTGTCATTCTGTCTAGACAAGAATAGATCAACGAGAGGGCAAAGTATTAAAATAGCAACAATGACCTTGGAGAAATATACAGTAAAGAAATCAGAAGAGACCCGAAACCAAAAAAATAAAATAAAATAAAATAAAAAGCAAAAAAAAAAAAATAATAACTATTTTTGAAAAAGAGAATGTAATCAGACCGGTGAGCAGAACAGAGGAACACACTGGATCCTGTGTGTATTTTGCTCTGTTAGAAAAACTAGATCCCAAAGATCTAGTTGTAAAGAAAGAAAGACGTATCGATGTATGAAAATAAAATTAAAAGCAATGAAAGGATAGAATGTAACTGTAAAAATGAAAATTAAAAAAAAAAAAGACAGCATTTAGATAGGTGAAGAGAACAGCGCCATACACTAGATTTTGGGTGTATTTTGGTCTGTTTGTTAGAAGGAACTACATCCCAAAATTATAAAGAAAGAAAACCGTATGTCTCCAAAAATAAAATGAAATACGATGAAATGATAGAATGTAACCGTAAAAATGAAAGGTAAAAAAGACCCCCCCCCAAAAAAAAGGAGTTGATAAACATAAGAATTTAGTTTAAAAGGAAAGAGAGACCAAAAATTAAAATGTAAAGGGTAAAGAATTACAGGGAAAAATCCGAGAACTCTGTGTACTGTTTTCCCTAGCACTGGAGTTTTGCAGTTGTCAGTGATCCCCAGACTTGGTCTTAGCTCAGAGTTCTTGCTGTCTTCAGGGGGAGGGGCCTATTGCCCTGATTCTCAGGTTATCTTTGCCCAGGGCAGAACTGCACCGCCCTTGCCAGGGGCCACACAGAATTGCTCTCTGAGGCTTTTGTTCCCTGAAAGCTTCCTGCACTGCTTTAGAGGATGAGAGTGAACCCGGGGGCCTCCCAGTCTCCAGCCCTGGAGCCTAAAGCTCAGGGCCCCACTGCTCAGTGCTCCCTCAGGGAAAAGGCGTCAGTCGGTCCTGTCTCCCTGGGTTCCGTCTACCCTCTGTGCTCACCTAGGCTGTGACTGAGCGGTTCTGTGTTAGGCACGTGACCCAGGTTCCATTCAGTAAATTGTGCGGACCCTGTGGCGTGCACCTGTGCCACTCCTCCTGGGGGCAGGTCGGGAGGTATCGCCGTGGTTCTGCCACTTGCTGGGCCCCTGCTTTGGAGAGCAGTTGCCAGAAGGTGCCGTGGTTCATGCTTTATGGCAAGCCCAAGCTGAAAGCCCAGCTGTGGGCTCGCTGATGGCAGCCAGCTTCCCTGGGTGGGTGCCTGGGAACTCTGCAGCACTCAGGCACCCCCAGTCTTCCTGTGACCCCAGAGATCCTGAGACCACGCTGTCCCACCAGGATTCTGACCTGCTTCGCCACTTGAGCGCCTTTCAGGCAGGGCCATCCTCAGGGGAGCTGCTCTGACAGTTCTGATTTTGCTCTGCTGCTCTATCACTTTCTAGTAACTGGCTGTGGGGGCTCCCTCCCCTTGTGTTGTATCTTCCCATAGATCACCTTGGATTCACTGCTCTGCACCTTCTATCTTGCAGGAAGTGGTTGTTTTCTATTTTAGAATTGCAGCAATTCTTTTCTAGATCTTGGGTTGAGTTCACAGGTTTTTAGAATAATTTAATGGCTGTCTAGTTGAATGTTTGCAACCAAAGAAAACTAATGTCTGCTACTCCTCTTCTATTTTGGAGCATCATCTGTGTTAGCAATTTTTTTTAAGATTTTATTTATTCATGAGAGACACACAGAGAGGCAGAGACACAGGCAGAGAGAGAAGCAGGCTCCATGCAGGGAGCCTGATGTGGGACTCCATCCCGGGACTCCAGGACTATGCCCTAGGCTGAAGGCAGGCACTAAACCGCTGAGCCATCTAGGGATCCCTGTGTTAACAATTGTTAAAACACTTCATATTATATGTAATCTTTGCATGTACTCATGCTTTCTATTTGGAGTGCCATTTTATGTCTTTTCCATTTTTGAAAAAGCATTCTCTGTCATGCCATATGTCTCTGTTCACATATCACCACAAGGTTAGCTCTCCTAATTTCCCATTCTCTTTCTGATAATAACCATCGAAATAGCTGTGAAAATTTCCTTCTCCTTTTAAGGGTGTATAATATTCTTTTCCATCCTGTGTGTGTGTGTGTATAAAACATTTTGTTTATTCATTCGTCTGTCAACAGATAGGTTTGTTGCTTCTACCTTTTGGCTTTTGTGAATAATGCCACAGTGAACATGGGGGTGCAAATGTCTCTTTAGAGTCCTGATTTCAGTTCCTTTGGATATATACTCAGAATGGGATTCTTGGATCATAAAGTAGTTCTATTTTTAATTTCTTGAGGATCCTGCATACTAGTTTCCTTAGTATCTGCACCAATTTACATTGCCACCAACAGTGCACAAGAGTTTTTTTCTCCACATCCTCACCAGCTCTTATTTCTTATCTTTCTTAAGATTTTATTTATTTATTCATGAGACACACACACACACACAGAGAGAGAGAGAGAGAGAGAGAGAGAGAGAGAGAGAGAGAGGCAGAGACACAGGCAGAGGGAGAAGCAGGCTCCATGCAGGAAGCCTGATGTGGGACTTGATCCCGGGACTCCAGGATGACACCCTGGGCTAAGGCAGGCGCCTAACCGCTGAGCCACCCAGCATCCCCTCTTATCTTTCTTATAATAACTATCCAAATAGCTGTGAGGTGATAGATTTTTGTGGTTTTAACTTACATTTCTGTGATTAGTCATGTTGAATATTTTATCTTTTACTTGTTGGCCATTTTTATGTGTTCTTTGAAGAATTTGTTTAGTTCCATTGCCTACTTTTTAATCTGTTTATTTGGATTTTCTTGCTATTGAGTTGTAGGGGTTCCTTATATATTTTGGATGTTAACCTCTTATCAGATATATGGCTTGTAAATACTTTCTCATATTCTGTAGGTTGTTTAATTTTGTTAACTGTGTTAACTCTTTTGGTTTGATATAATCTCACTTGTCTGTTTTTCTTTGTGTTGTCTGTGCTTTTGTTGCTTTGCTAAGCCTCTGTGGATTTTTTTCTGATGAGTATGTATTTCTTTATTGGAGAACCCTGTTATTTACCTGTCATATGTTTAAAGACACATGAAACTCATCAGACTGGGAGAATAGAGTAGTTTTGGAGGAAATAATTTGTTTTTATCTAATAGAGTCTTTAACATATAAAGATCATAAGTAAGTAACAACAGTAAAGTTCGAAACATTTAAAACTGACTATAGTAACTCCGTTTTTGAGGTTACACAAGAGTATTAATCAGATATAGAGTAATTCCTATGTTAAATATATATGCATATATTTTTTAGTTAGATAAGATATGCATAATATTTGTAATATTATTTATCAGAATATTTTTCATGTTCTCTATTGCATGGAGTATTTACTGTGTAAGAGATATTTACTTGGACTCCAGAAGTACAGGTACATTTTGAAAGTATAAATAATACTAGCCAAGTATCCAATTTATTTACTTAAGTAATTGTCAAAAATACATTTGCATTAATAGGCAACATACTTCTTTTTAAAAAAAAGATGTGGTGTGGGAAATCCAATTGCTGTTGAGATTATAATCCCTTTCTTTGGGTAATATATCAAAAGATTTATATAAGTACTGATAAACATTATGACCTGTTAAAGACTGAAAGTAACTAGTGATCTTGCCTATGCTCTTTTTAAATACTTTCTTTAATCTTCCCTAAGGCAATTGGCATACATTCACAAGAAGTGCCATAGTGAACCTGATGGACCTGGGATAGCAGCATTGACTAGTGAGGAGCGAACTCAATGGGCTAAGGTTATATAGTTTCATTTAAGACTTTATTTAATTAGTTTATTTATTTAGAGGGCATGTACGAGCAGGGGGTGGTGTAGAGGGGAGAAGAAGAGAGAGCATCTCAAGCAGACTGCTTACAGAGATTGATGCAGTGCTTGATCCCATGAATCTGAGGTCATGACCGGAGCTGAAATCAGGGTTTGGACACTCAACCAACTAAGCCACCCAGATGCCCCTCTTTTTTTTTTTTAATTGAGATATAATTGACATAACATTATATTAGTTTCAGGTGTACAACATGATTAGATATTTGTATATATATATATATTGCAAAATGATCACAATAAATCTTGTTAACATCAGTCATCTCGCATGATTACACATTTTCTTTCTTGTGATCACTTTTAAGATGTGTTCTATTAGCAATTTTCAAATATGTAATATAGCATTATTAACTGTACAGGTATCCCCCACTTTGAAAGTTTACATTATGCCACTTTCACAAAGGGCCTACACTAGTACTTGGTTTTGCTCATTGAAAGAAACCCAAAGAAGATTTTTGCTTTTATGAAAAAAGGCAAAAAGCAAAAATAGTGTTCAGCATTTGTTTTTCACTGCATGCTCTGTGAGCAAGAGTGGTACTCAATGCTACTCTCAGGAGCTAATGCTCAGTATCTCAGCATCAAGCTTTTGAACATCTGTGTCTCTGAGCCTCTGTGCTTTATCTCACTTTTTTTGTGCATCCTTTACCAAGATGTGTCCTACTTTATCAGTAAAGCCTAAGGGAGGTTATTTTTTGGGCCTGGAAATGTTCAAACATTTTTCCATATAAATTAATAGTAATTGCTTCTTTGCTTTATACCATTTTGGCTTATGAAATGTTTCATAGCAATGCTCTATTTTCAGATAGCAGTTTATACTTTTCTTAATGAAACTTTTCTCTAAAAAACTGTTTTGAGATCTTCTGGATGTATTTAATTTGTAACATTTAATCTTTCTTTATCCATTAGGCGCGTGAATATTTAATTAGTCTTGATCCAGAGAACTTGACTATGTTAGAAAAAATTCAGAGCAGTGTACTGGTATATTCCATAGAGGATAGCAGTCCACATGTAACACCAGGAAATTATTCTCAGGTACTTAACTATCTTGCTATTGTATTTCTCTCAAATTATTCTGGAAGACTCATGTGTATACTGAAGATGATAAGATTTTTGTTACATGCAGGCTCTTAAAATTTTTTCTTAGCTGACATATATATGTACCAAATTAAAGCTTATACATAAAGAATCCTTTGTAAATTTGCCTCATTATTTAGGTAATTTAGATATATCTTGAACATTGTTTAAAGATGTATGGCCATTGTTTGTATGTGTAGAAAACTTGCATAAAACACTGGACTAGATGAGCTTATCAAGCCAAAGGTGGCATGAGAATCTTCCTGTCACTCACACCAGTGTGTCTTGCTTGATACCTTAGTTAGTAGGGTCTGTCCTAAGAGTTACAGCACTCTTGTAATTTATTTTCATGTTTATTTTTATTGACAGACATACTTTAATGAGTTTAAGAGTAAATGTGGCCTTACTTTGTACTTCCCCTTGTAATAATATTTCCTGGGAAATAATAAAAAGTAGTCATATTTGTAGAAGTCTCTTAGTCTTTTGAAAACACTTAAATTATTTCATAATTCATTCATCAATATTAGAGGATAGAAATAATGCAGGATTGAAAAATCTTGTAGGTAGAAATAACTTTCCTTTATATAACTTCAGCTGAATTTTTTTAGGAGACTCACCAAACTTCTTGAGGAAGAATGTATTTTAATGTAGTGTTGTTTGAACTTTTACTGGTAGAATCTAGTTAGACTTGCATTTAGATTGCAACCCATTACAAACATATACATCACTTCAGAAGTTTCACAAAATAGTTATTACTTTTACTATCTGTGATAGATTATAATATTTATATTCTCTTTTGTTCTTTTCTTTTTGTAATGAATGTTTACCGTGATACACTAAATCGATTTCATTACTCACTAATGGAACAGAGCCTACTGTGTGAAAAACAGGCTTTGCGGGATTTGAATTCTTAAAATATTTTCTTTATAACTAGATTCTAATGACTAAACTTACCATAGCTTCTTAGACTCTTCATGTTGCAAGGGCTTTGTTTTTTCCTTTGTAAGTTCTTTCATGAGTATTGTACCAGCGTTTTTCTGGTAGGATTTCTTGAGATTTTGAGAAATACTTAAAGACAGGGCTGGAATTAGTATTTTTAAAAAATATTTTATTTATTTATTCATGAGAGACACACAGAGAGAGAGAGAGGCAGAGACACAGGCAGAGGGAGAAGCAGGCTCCATGCAGGGAGCCTGATGTAGGACTCAATCCCGGGACTCCAGGATCATGCCCTGGGCCGAAGGTAGGTGCTAAACCGCTGAGCCACCAGGGTTCCCCAGGGCTGGAATTAGTATTATCTTTTTAGTATAATTACCATTTTATTAAATTTGGGGGAGGAGGGGCAAGATGGCGGAAGAGTAGGGTCCCCAAATCACCTGTCCCCAACAAATTACCTAGATAACCTTCAAATCATCCTGAAAATCTACGAATTCGGCCTGAGATGTAAAGAGAGACCAGCTGGAATGCTACAGTGAGAGGAATTCACGCTTCTATCAAGGTAGGAAGACGGGGGAAAGAAATAAAGAAACAAAAGGCCTCCGAGGGGGAGGGGCCCCGCGAGGAGCCGGACTGAGGCCGGGGCGAGTGTCCCCAGGACAGGAGAGCCCCGTCCCGGAGAAGCAGGAGCTGCACCAACCTTCCCGGACAGGCGGAAAGGGGCTCGCAGGGAGTTGGAGCAGGACCCAGGAGGGCGGGGATGCCCTCGGGCTCCCGGGGACACTAACAGACACCTGCGAGCGCAGGGGAGTGCTCCAAGCTCCCTAAGGGCTGCAGCACGCACCGGAGCAGTTCGGAGGGGCTCAGGAGCGGCTCCAGGGAGGGAGCTGCGGGGCGGGAGCGCAAATCCAACAACGCAGGCCCCGGAGCACAGGGCGCCGGGACACAGCCCAGGATCCGGCCTCCCCCCAGGACAGGCAGAGGCCGGGAGGGCCCAGGACAGCAAGGACGCTCCTGCCCCGAGCTGAGCAGATCAGCGGCCCCGCCCCGGAGCCTCCAGGCCCTGCAGACAGAGAGCCGAGAGCCCCGAGCCCCGTAGTTCCTGCGGAGGCTGAATCCAGGCTTCCAGAGTTGCCATAGCAACTGCGACTGTTCCTCCTGGGGCCTGACGGGGTAAACAACCCCCGCTGAGCCCTGCAGTAGGCAGGGGCAGAGCAGCTCCCCCAAGTGCTAACACCTGAAAATCAGCACAGCAGGCCCCTCCCCCAGAAGACCAGCTGGACGGACCAGTGATACTCCCCCGTGTTCCAATACAACTTGTTTTTGGCCACTCTGCACTGAGCAAAATGACTAGAAGGAAAACCTCACCTCAAAAGAAAGAATCAGAAACAGCCCTCTCTCCCACAGAGTTACAAAATCTGGATTACACTTCAATGTCAGAAAGCCAATTCAGAAGCACTATTCTACAGCTACTGGTGACTCTAGAAAAGAGCATTAAGGACTCACGAGACTTCATGACTGCAGAATTTAGATCCAATCAGGCAGAATTTAAAAATCAATTGAATGAGATGCAATCCAAACTAGAAGTCCTAACGACGAGGGTTAACGAGGTGGAAGAACGAGTGAGTGACATAGAAGACAAGTTAATGGCAAAGAGGGAAACTGAGGAAAAAAGAGACAAACAATTAAAGGACCATGAAGACAGATTAAGAGAATTAAATGACACCCTAAGGAAGAAAAACCTACGTTTAATTGGGGTTCCCGAGGGCGCCGAAAGGGACAGAGGGCCAGAATATGTATTTGAACAAATCCTAGCTGAAAACTTTCCCAATCTGGGAAGGGAAACAGGCATTCAGATCCAGGAAATAGAGAGATCCCCCCCTAAAATCAATAAAAACCGTTCAACACCTCGACATCTAATAGTGAAGCTTGCAAATTCCAAAGATAAAGAGAAGATCCTTAAAGCAGCAAGAGACAAGAAGTCCCTGACTTTCATGGGGAGGAATATTAGGGTAACAGCAGACCTCTCCACAGAGACCTGGCAGGCCAGAAAGGGCTGGCAGGATATATTCAGGGTCCTAAATGAGAAGAACATGCAACCAAGAATACTTTATCCAGCAAGGCTCTCATTCAAAATGGAAGGAGAGATAAAGAGCTTCCAAGACAGGCAGGAACTGAAAGAATATGTGACCTCCAAACCAGCTCTGCAAGAAATTTTAAGGGGGACTCTTAAAATTCCCCTTTAAGAAGAAGTTCAGTGGAACAATCCACAAAAACAAGGACTAAATAGATATCATGATGACACTAAACTCTTATCTGTCAATAGTAACTCTGAACGTGAATGGGCTTAATGACCCCATCAAAAGGCGCAGGGTTTCAGACTGGATAAAAAAGCAGGACCCATCTATTTGCTGTCTACAAGAGACTCATTTTAGACAGAAGGACACCTACAACCTGAAAATAAAAGGTTGGAGAACCATTTACCATTCAAATGGTTCTCAAAAGAAAGCAGGGGTAGCCATCCTTATATCAGATAAACTAAAATTCACTCCGAAGACAGTAGTGAGAGACGAAGAGGGACACTATATCATACTTAAAGGATCTATCCAACAAGAGGACTTAACAATCCTCAATATATATGCCCCGAATGTGGGAGCTGCCAAATACTTAAACGAATTATTAACCAAAGTAAAGAAATACTTAGATAATAATACACTTATACTTGGTGACTTCAATCTAGCTCTCTCTACCCTTGATAGGTCTTCTAAACACAACATCTCCAAAGAAACGAGAGCTTTAAATGATACACTGGACCAGATAGATTTCACAGATATCTACAGAACTTTACATCCAAACTCAACTGAATACACATTCTTCTCAAGTGCACATGGAACTTTTTCCAGAATAGACCACATACTGGGTCACAAATCGGGTCTGAACCGATACCAAAAGATTGGGATCGTCCCCTGCATATTCTCAGACCATAACGCCTTGAAATTAGAACTCAATCACCAGAAGAAGTTTGGAAGGACCTCAAACACGTGGAGGTTAAGGACCATCCTGCTAAAAGATAAAAGGGTCAACCAGGAAATTAAGGAAGAATTAAAAAGATTCATGGAAACTAATGAGAATGAAGATACAACTGTTCAAAATCTTTGGGATGCAGCAAAAGCAGTCCTGAGGGGGAAATACATCGCAATACAAGCATCCATTCAAAAACTGGAAAGAACTCAAATACAAAAGCTAACCTTACACATAAAGGAGCTAGAGAAGAAGCAGCAAATCGACCCGACGCCCAGCAGAAGAAGAGAGTTAATTAAAATTCGAGCAGAAATCAACGAAATTGAGACCAGAAGAACTGTGGAACAGATCAATAGAACCAGGAGTTGGTTCTTTGAAAGAATTAATAAGATAGATAAACCATTAGCCAACCTTATTAAAAAGAAGAGAGAGAAGACTCAAATTAATAAAATCATGAATGAGAAAGGAGAGATCACTACCAACACCAAGGAAATACAAACGATTTTAAAAACATATTATGAGCAGCTCTACGCCAATAAATTAGGCAATCTAGAAGAAATGGACGCATTCCTGGAAAGCCACAAACTACCAAAACTGGAGCAGGAAGAAATAGAAAACCTGAACAGGCCAATAACCAGGGAGGAAATTGAAGCAGTCATCAAAAACCTCCCAAGACACAAGAGTCCAGGGCCAGATGGCTTCCCAGGGGAATTCTATCAAACGTTTAAAGAAGAAATCATACCTATTCTACTAAAGCTGTTTGGAAAGATAGAAAGAGATGGAGTACTTCCAAATTCATTCTATGAGGCCAGCATCACCTTAATTCCAAAACCAGACAAAGACCCCACCAAAAAGGAGAATTACAGAGCAATATCCCTGATGAACATGGATGCAAAAATTCTCAACAAGATACTAGCCAATAGGATCCAACAACACATTAAGAAAATTATTCACCATGACCAAGTAGGATTTATCCCCGGGACACAAGGCTGGTTCAACACTCGTAAAACAATCAATGTGATTCATCATATCAGCAAGAGAAAAACCAAGAACCATATGATCCTCTCATTAGATGCAGAGAAAGCATTTGACAAAATACAGCATCCATTTCTGATCAAAACTCTTCAGAGTGTAGGGATAGAGGGAACTTTCCTCGATATCTTGAAAGCCATCTACGAAAAGCCCACAGCAAATATCATTCTCAATGGGGAAGCACTGGGAGCCTTTCCCCTAAGATCAGGAACCAGACAGGGATGTCCACTCTCACCACTGCTATTCAACATAGTATTGGAAATCCTAGCCTCAGCAATCAGACAACAAAAAGACATTAAAGGCATTCAAATTGGCAAAGAAGAAGTCAAACTCTCCCTCTTCGCCGATGACATGATACTCTACATAGAAAACCCAAAAGCCTCCACCCCAAGATTGCTAGAACTCATACAGCAATTTGGTAGCGTGGCAGGATACAAAATCAATGCCCAGAAATCAATGGCATTCCTATACACTAACAATGAGACTGAAGAAAGAGAAATTAAGGAGTCAATCCCATTTACAATTGCACCCAAAAGCATAAGATACCTAGGAATAAACCTAACCAAAGAGGTAAAGGATCTATACCCTAAAAACTATAGAACACTTCTGAAAGAAATTGAGGAAGACACAAAGAGATGGAAAAATATTCCATGCTCATGGATTGGCAGAATTAATATTGTGAAAATGTCAATGCTACCCAGGGCAATTTACACGTTCAGTGCAATCCCTATCAAAATACCATGGACTTTCTTCAGAGAGTTAGAACAAATTATTTTAAGATTTGTGTGGAATCAGAAAAGACCCCGAATAGCCAGGGGGATTTTAAAAAAGAAAACCATAGCTGGGGGCATCACAATGCCAGATTTCAGGTTGTACTACAAAGCTGTGGTCATCAAGACAGTGTGGTACTGGCACAAAAACAGACACATAGACCAATGGAACAGAATAGAGAACCCAGAAATGGACCCTGAACTTTATGGTCAACTAATATTCGACAAAGGAGGAAAGACGATCCACTGGAAGAAAGACAGTCTCTTCAATAAATGGTGCTGGGAAAATTGGTCATCCACATGCAGAAGAATGAAACTAGACCACTCTCTTGCACCATACACAAAGATAAACTCAAAATGGATGAAAGATTTAAATGTGAGACAAGACTCCATCAAAATCCTAGAGGAGAATACAGGCAACACCCTTTTTGAACTTGGCCACAGTAACTTCTTGCAAGATACATCCACGAAAACAAAAGAAACAAAAGCAAAAATGAACTATTGGGACTTCATCAAGATAAGAAGCTTTTGCACAGCAAAGGATACAGTCAACAAAACTCAAAGACAACCTACAGAATGGGAGAAGATATTTGCAAATAACATATCAGATAAAGGGCTAGTTTCCAAAATCTATAAAGAACTTATTAAACTCAACACCAAAGAAACAAACAATCCAATTATGAAATGGGCAAAAGACATGAAGAGAAATCTCACAGAGGAAGACATAGACATGGCCAACATGCACATGAGAAAATGCTCTGCATCACTTGCCATCAGGGAAATACAAATCAAAACCACAATGAGATACCACCTCACACCAGTGAGAATGGGGAAAATTAATAAGGCAGGAAACCACAAATGCTGGAGAGGATGCAGAGAAAAGGGAACCCTCTTACACTGTTGGTGGGAATGTGAACTGGTGCAGCCACTCTGGAAAACTGTGTGGAGGTTCCTCAAAGAATTAAAAATAGACCTGCCCTACGACCCAGCAATTGCACTGTTAGGGATTTACCCCGAAGATTCAGATGCAATGAAACGCCGGGGCACCTGCACCCCGATGTTTCTAGCAGCCATGTCCACAATAGCCAAACTGTGGAAGGAGCCTCGGTGCCCATCGAAAGATGAATGGATAAAGAAGATGTGGTTTATGTATACAATGGAATATTACTCAGCCATTAGAAACGACAAATACCCACCATTTGCTTCAACGTGGATGGAACTGGAGGGTATTATGCTGAGTGAAGTAAGTCAATCGGAGAAGGACAAACAGTGTATGTTCTCACTCATTTGGGGAATATGAATAATAGTGAAGGGGAATATAAGGGAAGGGAGAAGAAGTGTGTGGGAGATATCAGAAAGGGACACAGAACATAAAGACTTCTAACTCTGGGAAATGAACTAGGGGTGGTGGAAGGGGAGGAGGGCGGGGGGTGGGGGTGAATGGGTGACGGGCACGGAGGGGGACACTTGACGGGATGAGCACTGGGTGTTATTCTGTATGTTGGTAAATTGAACACCAATAAAAATTAATTTATTAAAAAAATAAATTTGGTTTACTTGAAGAGGAAAAGTGGCACCAAACATATATGTGTGTAGGTATAGGTATACATACACACACACACACACACACACATATACACATACCTATACACACACACACACACACACACACCTTAAACACGTTTTAGCTATGTATGTATGTATGTATACACTTAAGAAAACCTTTTAATATTAAAATTTTCTTGTTTTTAAAATATTACATTTATTTTAGGTAACCGCACAGACTCTTACAGGAGATCCAACTGTACGCTGGGGAGATAAATCTTATAACTTGGTTTCCTTTTCCAATGGAGTATTTGGCTCTAGTTGTGATGTAAGTAAACATACAGAAGTTATTTTTCCTTTCAATTGTTTAGGTTAATTTAGAGGCAATAAATTACAATAGTTAGGCTATGCTGGCAATAGCTACAATAGTTAGTCTATGAACCAAGAAAATTTTAAAAAATCAATGGAAGTCAGAGGTTGCAATATACAATTATAATCTCATCCTAAGACCTTTTGTAAAATATATAATTCCAATAAAGTAGCATGAGGTATGTTTGTTTTTAGTGACTACAATGGTTAGGCTATTTATATAGTAAATAGGCTATTTACTATATAAATACTTACGTAGCTCTGTGGCATATACTAAAAGATTTAGTTACAAATTCTCAGTGAAAACAGAGTATAGGACAAGTTATTTTCATTTGTTTTTTTTTTTAAGATTTTATTTATTTATTCATGAGAGACACAGAGAGAGAGAGGCAGAGACACAGGCAGAGGGAGAAGCAGTCCCCATGCAGGGAGCCCGACGTGGGACTCGATCCCGGGACTCCAGGTTAATGCCCTGGGCTGAAAGCAGGCACTAAACCGCTAAGCCATCCAGGGATCCCCCCTATTTTCATTTGTAATATGGCTTAATGGTTTGTATCTGCATAGTAGAATTTGAATGTATTTTATGTAGTCATGGATTTATTATTTTTTAAAATATATTTTTATTTTTTATGATTTTAATTGAGAGAGAAGGTAGAATGAGAGAGAGCATCGGGGGAGGGACAGAGGGAGAATTGGCTCCCTGCTGAGTAGGGAGCCCAATGCTGGCTCCATCCCAGAATCCTGGGATCATGATTTGAGCCGAAAGCAGATGCTCAACCAACTGAGCCACTCAGGTGCCACATGATTACAGATTTTTAAAAAAATTATGAAGCTCTTTTACCACTGTTACCTGCTTATTGAGTATTACAACCTATTTTTAAAAATACAGCATTATGTTTGTATTCTGTGTGCAGAGAAAGATATGTGGGATGTATGTGGATATATTCCTAGATTTACCCTGTAATTTTTAAACTATTCTCCTAAAGTGGCACACGATCTTTGGAACATTTATTTACCCTACATGTTAAAGTGTCTGGTGTTTTTACCATTTTTTACCTTCTTAATTTAAAAAAAAAAAAAAGAAAAAACTTCTGTGTCATCTTTATTAACTCTACCTTGCCATTTTCTGATGGATATTCAAGAAGTCTATGAACCAAGAAAATTTTAAAACATCAATGGAAGTCAGAAGTTGCTATATACAATTATAATCTCATCCTAAGACCTTTTGTAAAATATATAATTCCAATAAAGTAGCATGCGGTATGTTTGTTTTTAGTGACTTCCAGAAGCATTTATTGACTGTACAATACTAGGAAGATCTGTTATATTGATCTGGGATCAATAGTTATATTAATTGGTATTTATTAAGTTTTAGGGGATGGAAACCTAAATTATACTGGCATTAGTTTAAGAAAATATTCATTGACCTAGGGGTACAGCTAAATTTGGGGAAGACTGACTTCCAGTGTCCAAATGCTATTAGAAATTTCTCTCTCCATTTTTTGGCACTGCTTTCCTATATTTGACTTTGTGTTTAGGTAGATTATCCCACGTGATTGTTGAACACACAATTTCATGTCTTCATAGCTCCCTTCATAGATGAGTGTTCCCTATGCAAATGGGTAGCTTACACCACCGCTTTCCCTCCCACCCCCAGTAGTTCCAGCAGAAGTCCTGAGAATAATGCTCTGTGGTTTGATAGGCCTTTGCCTATCATGTGCCCATTCTGAGGAGTCAGGTGCTCTGATTCATCTGGCCTGGGTCACATGTTAAACTTTGTAATCTAGGGGGTAGAACTAATATCATTTGAACCACCATAGATGTGCGGTGGTTGTCTACAAAAAAATAAATCTCAGAAGGAGAATTGGTTGACTAGCAGGTAATAAAACTAGATGTCTATTATAGTAGCTCATCAGAGTAAAAGTTTGGCATTGAGTCCCTTTAAAGATTTGTCGTCTTTCCTCTTCCTTGGAGTCCATTGTTGACAAAACATTTCTTGTAATTACTTCAGTTTTCTTCTCTTGAGTTCTTTTATTTTTCTTGACTTTCTCAATCTGGTTTATATCCTCATTTCCTGGAAAGAATCCTTTGTAAAGTAGCTGAGTACTTCCTGTTGTTTTCCTATATTTCTCTTTGACCTGTCTGTTGCAGTCGATTACCCTCTTCATACATATTTCGACACTGCCTCCATCTTAACAGAATCTACTGATTCTGACCTTAATGTTCATCTCACTTTACCCTCCTGTGCATGTTCTCTTGCCTGGTTTAATACTTTCATTGACTGTTTTTATATAGATAGTTTGCAGTTAGTCTTTTTTTTTTTCCAGTTTTTGTTTGAATTCCAGTCAGTTAACATACAGTGTAATATTAGTTTCCAGTATACAATATAGTGATTCAACACTTCCATATTTCACCTAGTGCTCATCACAAGTGCATTTCTTAATCCGCATTACCTATTTCATTCATCTCCCACTTACCTCCCTTCTAGTAACCATCAGTTTTCTATAGTTAAGAGTCTGTTTCTTGATCTCTTTTTTCTACCCTTTGCTCATTTTGCTTGTTAAATTCCACTTATGAGTGAAGCCATATGGTATTTGTCTTTTTCTGACTCATTTTGCTTAGTGTTATACTCTCTAGATCCATCCATATTTTGCAAATGGCAGAAATTTAATTTCTTATAGCTGAGTAATATTTCATTGTATATGTATACCACATCTTCTTTATTCATCACTTGATGGAACAGTTATTCTTTTTTAGTTTTTACCTCTTATTCTCATTTTGTTTCATTGTATGTTCAAACTGGATATTATATTGTTACATAGATTAAATTGTTATCATCAAGAACTCATCATTTAACTTGCCTTCCTCACTTCCAATTCTCAAACCCCCAAAAACCACATTATGCTACTCATATTTTTACTAATAGCACTAAACTCTTTCTGTTCAAATTTAGGATGAAAATAATGATCTTTTTTATCTCTAAATAAAGAATATTGGTCCCAGAATGAACACATATCTTAGTGCAACTGAGATCTTTCTTGTAGTAAGTGTATGGACATGTTTTATGTGTATGTATTAACACCTGTTTATTTATAAAATTGATCTGATTATTTCCCCTTGATAATCTGCTTTTAGAATCATGTGTAGGTTTCCCTCATAACCTAAGATGATTATAGAAAAAGCAATATAACCTATGTAAAACATCATTAGTAAAGTGTATACAGTTGACCTTTGAACAACATGAGTTTGAACTGTGTGGGTCCACTTAAATACGTGAATTTTTTTTCATAAATCCATATTTTATACTGTGATTGAAGAATAGGGTAGAAGTTGCCAAATGACTAAAAGTGAAGGGAAGGTGATGGAGAGATACTGGGAAGGCTGGAACAGCAGGCTCTCACCTGCTTGTGGCATTCTTTACCCCACTATCTGTGCAGTTTGATTCACTGAGATCTTCAACTAAAAGGTACAAAGAAACCAACTCTGGAGAGGGATTCTCAGTAAAGTGACAAGACCAGTCATTGTCCACAGTTGGCCAAAGACCACAGAATGATAATCTGCACCCCCTAGCTGGCTCCCCGGGGGTCTGGGAGAACACTTGGGGCAGGATAGCACCAGGTAGTAGTAATGTGGGCTGCAGAGGACATGGCAGGAAGGAGCGCTGTCTAAGGTGCTGAAAGTTCTCTGAGGCGGAGAACTAATACTGCTGAGAGCAACTTGCCAGCATTTCCCACAAGCAGAAATTGAGTTAGAACCATGTGAAGGGGTCAGGTGGAGCAAGCAACCTAGAGAGAAAGCTAACAATGCTGTACCTTCCCTTGTTCTCTGCCTTTCCCTGAACTCTACTTGGAAGGAGGTTTCCTGCATTCCTGGGTGACTTTGCTAACTTTGGGTGGGGATGAGATGTGTGGTGCCTTATTCTACTATTGTACTGTGTAGCAAATGTCTTTTCCCTTCCTTATGATTTTCTTAATAACATTTTATTTTCTTTATTGTAAGAATACATTACATAGTACTTAGAACACAAAACATGTTAATTGTTTATATTACTGGCAAATGTTTCTGTTCTGGTTAACAGTAGGCAATTAATAATTAAGTTTGTTCTGCGGAGTAAAAAGTTATATGTAGATTTTTTATTGCATGGGAGGTCAATGTTGTTCAAGGGTCAGCTGTATACTATAAAAGTTGGTCTATTCTAAATGTGGAGCCATGCTGTTACTCTATTCCATTGATGCTTAAATACAACTTTTGTGATTATAGTAGTTATTACATTTCCCTCTTGGGATTTAAAATCCTGGGATCAACTATTTTGTCTTCTCTATCTAGGCTTTATTATAGGGCTTTGTGAAGGAACCATAGGAAGCATGTAATAAACAGTTAAATAATAACAGCAGTTACTCATTATTGCTGTAGTCCAGGTTCTGTAGTAAGCACTTTATAAGCCTAATTAAAATCATTTTTTCACACAACTATATGATTATTATCCCTACTAATGAATGAGGCAGTTTACTTAAAGAATTAAGTAACTTCAACAGTTGCATAACTGGGAAATGATAGAGTTTGAATGCAGAATTGAAGCCATCATTCCTAAAAAATATGTTATATATATTGTCTCCATAGAAATAAAAAAAGGAAGCTAAAACTTTATGAACAAATAAAGCATCAGGAAGGCATATGAAGTTTTCATATTTCCTAACATTTTTTAAAATCAATGATTAGCTTTTCCACCCTGAGTTGGGTGGGTAGAATTACCAGTCAGAGAGACTTTAATCCTTCAGTCTTGCTCTTTCTACTGGGTCTAGTAAAAGTGTTAGTAAGTAACATTATTGTATCAAGTGAAGCCATATATGATATCTGTGTAAATTCTTTGTAAAGTTTGTAAGATGTGGTTAGAAAACAGGTTTGTCAGTGACCTGTGAGTCTCATTATTATGTCAAAGGACGAGTGGAATGAGTTGCTCATGCATCTTCTGACCTCCCTCCAGAGTCTTTCTTGATATTGTGGCTGCTATCTAGTTGGTAACAGTCTTCATACTATACTGTCAGGCCCTCCTGTGTTGTGTCATAAGGCAACAGATCTCTGTAATGTTACTCCTCTGAAAGTGAGCCCAAGTGTGGTCATATCATAAGCCTCCTTTCTTTCTCTCCAAGGCTGGAAGTGCCATATTCAGTTCATAAATGGTAACTATCTAACATAAAGTGATAGCAGTAGCACAGAGGAAAAAAACTGTCTGATGTAATTGTCATCAAAGGACATGGAGAAAAAAGGCAAAAAGTTTGTTCTCCAGAATAATGAAGGAAAAATTCACTAGTTGAGATTTCTCTCTCAGTATAGCTGTCAAACCTGTAATGCTTCTGTAACTCAGCCCATTTTTCCAGCATTCCTTAAACATTGAAAATTATTTCTGCTGCATCTGAACATTCTTGTAGACATGAACACAAACTGATTATGCTTTTAAATACTCACCTAGTGGCCTGTGTCTTTACCAGTAAAGTTCATATCCATGCTCAGTTTAGCCTTCAGAAAGTCTGTCATCCTCCTTTGCTTTTTTCAAAGTGCTCTTAAAATTTCAGAACTTCTTAGAACTGCACACATACACCTCCTTTCATTTCCAGTTTAAATAGCAGTTATTTTCTCTACATTGTCCATGTTTGCTTTATACCTCTCCCCATTACCTCAAGATCTCTGATTAGGTGCTTCCAACTTTAAGTATTTTTTCTTTTGCAGCAAATAAAATACAGCAGTCACTTCCTATGCTATAGGATATCTGTATCTTATCATTAGGTGAGGCATTTGAATTCTGCACTTTAGTATTTTTTAAGATTGAAGAGGAGGGAAATAGAAAATAAAATATTGGGTCAAGTTGTATGAGTTGACATAAGGTACTCAAAATCTTGTGTATTTTCATTTTAGCATGCTCCTCTTGATGGAATGGTTATTGTGAACATAAACCATTATGTTGATAAGAAGATTTTTGAGAATGAAGGAAGATGGAAGGTATGTTAGAAAAAGTATTTCATCTTTTTTTTTCTAATAGTTCTTTAATATTTTTAAGTATTTTCCCTATTTTCAGGGTTCAGAAAAAGTACGGGATATATCACTTCCAGAGGAGCTTGTTTTCACTGTGGATGATAAAATACTAAACGACATTAATCAAGCTAAAGCCCAATATCTCAAGCAGGTAGATTTTTAAACATTTTTTTTCTTAGGTAGTAATGGTTTGTCTTTTAACTACCACATCTAAAACTTTGGCTATTATCCAAGCATGCCCACCATAAAACATTTTATTTATTTTTAAAGATTTATTTTAGAGCATGAGCAAGGGCAGGTGGAAGGAGGGGCAGAGGGAGAGAGGGAGTAAGAATCTCAAGCACACTCTCCCGACTGAGCACAGACTGATACGGGGCTCCATCTTACGACCCTGAGATCATGACCTGGGCTGAAATTAAGAGTCCAGTGCTTAACTGAGCCACACAGGCACCCCAGCAACATAAAACATGTTAAATTACAGCTTTAATGCCTTTAAGTTTTTTTTATATCTAATGGTTAATGCAAATGACGATTTGGTTATCTTTGGGATATTCTTCTTAGCTGGTTTTTCACTTTTCCCATTTAATTTTTTTTTGTTAGGCATCTGATCTGCAGATTGTGGTGTATCCCTTTACATCTTTTGGCAAAAAGCTAACCAAGAAGAAGATGCTTCACCCTGATACATTTATTCAACTTGCACTTCAGCTGGCCTATTATAGACTTACTGGATGGTGAGGAGCATTCATTTACTATTTTCCATTTTCAGAATCTTATAGTCCAAGAACAAATCTTTACCATAGCTATTCCATCCTAACTCCCCAGTGTTTTTCCTGACTTTTTCCCCCAAGTAACATCATGCCCTAATTTGGATTTCCATCATCAGTGTATTAGAGTTTTGATGTGTGACACTTTTATTTTTTTAAAGATTTTTTTTATTTATTCATGAGAGACACAGAAACATAGGCAGAGGGAGAAGCAGGCTCCCTGTGGGGAGTCTGATGCAGAACTCAATCCCAGGACCCCAGGATCATGACCTGAGCTGAAGGCAGACGCTCAACCACTGAGCCACCCAGGTGCCCCGATGTGTGACATTTGTAGTCTTGTTTTTCATCCTCTGAAGTGTCTGCTGTCTTCTAGGAGGGGTTTTACTGTTACTTGGAATTTATATCACTTGGTTTTCTTATAGCCTCAGTTTCCTGATGGGTTCATGATTTTATAGATTATCCAGTCTTTACTAATTTTTAGGATAGGAGAGATGGTATGTTATGACTTTCTACATCCCAAGCAGAAGTAGAATCTCCTTGCTTTTGAAATATCTAATCTGAGAATATGTGTCTTTAAATGGGATAGTTAGGTCATTAGCATTTAATATAATAATTAATAGGTTGGGTTTAAGTCTTCCATATTGCTATTTCTTTTCTTTCTATCATATCAGATTTTTCTTCTTTTTTATCTTCTTTTGAATTCATAGTGTTTTTTTTAATTGTTCCATTTTATCTCCATTGTCAGGTGTACTCTTTTTTTGGTTTTGTTTTGTTTTTAGTAGTTGCACTAGGATTTATAAAATACACCTTTAACTTACTAGAGTCTACCATCAAATAACATTTTCCATTTGAAGTGTAACATAAGAATCTTAAAACAGAATGCTTCTCTTTTGTTTTTCCTATTTTTTTTGCTGTTGTATATGATACCTCTACATATGTAATAAGCCTCACAATACACTGTTATTATTTGCATTAAACAGTTGATTATCTTTTTTTTATTGTGGTAAAATATATGTAAAAGAAAACTTGGCCATTTGAGCCACTTTTAAGTGTATAATCTAGCAGCGTCAGTTACATTCTCAAAGTTGTGCACCATTACAACTATTTGCAAGATTTTTTCATTGTCCCCAAGAGAAACTATACCTATTAAGCAATAATTTCTCATTCCTCCTTTTGCCTCAGCCCCTTGTAATCTCTAATCTACTTTCACTTGTCTTGCTTGTTCTAGATATTTCACCTAGGTGAGATCACACAATATTTGTCTTTTTGTCTCTGGCATATTTAACTTAGGATAGTGTTTCCAAAGTTCATCCATGTTGTAGAATCACAACTTCATTCTTTTTGATGGCTAAATATTCCACCATATGGGTATACTACATTTTATTTATCCATTCATCTGTTGATAGAGACTTGTTTCCGCCTTTTGGCTATTGTGAATGATGCTATTGTAAACATTCACATACAAGTATCTGAGTCCCTGTTTTAATTTCTATACCTAGGAATGGGTATAGAAATTAAATCACACACCATGTTGTGTAATTCTTTTTCACTCTTTAAGCATTTGCCAAACTATTTTCCACCATAGCTATACCATTTTACATTCCCACCAGGAGTATACAGATGTTACAGTTGTTCTACATCCTTGCCAACGCTTATTTTCTTCATTAAAAAAGTTGTAACGAGGGCAGCCCAGGTGGCTCAGTGGTTTAGCGCTGCCTTCAGCCCAGGGTGTGATCCTGGAGACCTGGGATCGAGTCCCACATCAGGCTCCCTGCATAGAGCCTGCTTCTCCCTCTGCCTGTGTCTGTCTGTCTGTCTCTCTCTCTCTCATAAATAAATAAATAAATAAATAAATAAATAAATAAATAAATAAAATCTTTTTAAAAAAAAGTTAACAATCAGTTGTGAAGTAGTATCTTATTGTGGTTTTTGTGTTTCTCTATTGACTAATGAGGTTGTGTATCTTTTCATATATTCATTGGCCACTTGTATATCTTCTTTGTCATACTGTCTATAAAAGTCCTTTGTGCTTTTGGTAATTAGGTTGTCATTTTGTTGTTGAATTGTAAGCGTTCTTTATGTATTGTGGATATGAAACTCTTATCATATATGAGATTAGCAAGTATTTCCTCCATTCTGTGGGTTTTCTCTTCACTCTCTTGGTGGTATCCTTTGAGCACAATGTTTTTTAATTTTGAAGTCCAGTTTATTTCATTTTCACTTGTTGCCTGTGCTTTAGTTGTCATATTCAAGAAGTCATTGCTAAATCTATGGTCATGAAGTTTTACCCTTATACTACCTTCTGGAGTTTTACTGTTCTAGCTTTTTATGTCTTTTATGCTTTTCTCTCTCACTCTTTTTTAGAGAGAGAGAGAAAGAGTGCAAATGGGGGAGGAGGAGGGGCAGAGGAGGAGAGAGAATCTTAAGTAGGCTCCATGTCCAGTGTGGAGCCCAATGCAGGGCTGAATCTCATGCCTTGGAAATCATGCCCTGAGCTGAAATCAAGAGTCTGACATAGTAACTGTGTGTGTGTGTCAGAACCAACCAGGCCACCCAGGCACCTCTCTTTGATGCTATTTGAATTAATTTTTGTGTATTGTGTGTGGTAAGGGTCCAACTTCATTCTTTTGCAAGTGGATATCCAGTTTTCCCAGCATTATTTTTTGAAGAGACTATTCATTGAACGTTCTTGATGTTCTTGTTTAAAATCAATTAATTATAGATGTAAGGGTTTATTTCTGGACTTTCTATTCATTGTTCTCTGTGTCTCTTCTTGTGTCAGTACCATACTATCATGATTATTGTAGCTTTGTAGTAAGTTTTGGAAACAAAGGTATCTTTCACCTTTGTTCTTTTCAAGATTGTTTTGGCTATTCTTGAAATTCCATATGAATTTTAGGATTAGTTTTTCCATTTTTGCAGAAATGTTGGAGTTTTGAACCTATAGCATTGTCACCTTAATTATAAGTCTCCAATCCATGAACATAGAGTCCTATTCCATTTATTTATATTTTCTAAAATTATTTTAAGCAGTGTTTTGTAGTTTCCTGCATATAATATTTCTTCTTTGGTTAGTTTAATCTTGAGTATTTTATTCTTTTTGATGCTATTGTAAATGGAATTGTTTTCTTAATTTTCTTTTCAGGTCATTCATTTCAGATGTATGGAAATGCAGCTGATTTTTGCATGTTGGTTTTGTACCTTTAAACTTTGTTGAATTTATTAGCTCTAATAGTTTTTTATGGATTTGAGATCAGATCATCTGTGAATAGTTTTGCTTTTTTTCTTTCCAATTTGAATGCCTTTTACTTCTTTTGGCTGTAAAACCCAGTAGTATATTGAATTATCCTTGTTATATTCCTTATTTTAGGTGGACATTTTTTATTCTTTCGCTATTGAATATGATGATAGCTGTGAGTTTTTTAAAAATGTCCTTTATTATGTTGAGGAAGTTTCTTTTTATGCCTAGTAGATTGAGTGTTTTTATTATGGGAGAGTGTTGGATTTTGTCAAATGCTTTTCTGTCTCAATTATCCTGTAGCAATTATCTTTCATTCTATTAATAAGGTATATTATATTGATTGATTTTCATTTGTTGAACCACCCTTACATTCCTAGCTATATCCCACTTGGCCATGGTGTATTGTCCCTTTAATATGCTGCTGAATTCGGTTTGCTAGTAATTAGAAGATTTTTCCATCTATATTTATAAAAGGATATGAGTCTATTGTGTCTTGTAATAACCCTTTTTTAACATTTTTATTTAAATTCCAGTTAGTTAACACAGTGTAACATTAGTTTCAGAATCAATTTAGTGATTCAACACTTCCATACAACACCTGGTGCTCATCACAAAGAGTGCACTCCTTAATCCCCATCACCTATTTGATCCATCTCCCATGTACCTCCTCTTTGATCACCATCTGATCCAATAGGTTAGAGCCTATTTCTTGGTTTGCCTGCTCCTTTTTTATCCCGCTTTTGCTTGTTTTGTTTCTTAAATTCTACATATGAGTGAAATCATATGGTATTTGTCTTTCTCTGACTGACTTAACTTTGCTTACTCTCTAGCCTCATCTGTGTCATTGCAAATGGTAAGGTTCCATTCCTTTTTATGGCTGAGTAATATATACACCCCATTTCTTCTTTATCCATTCATCAGTCAGTGGACATTTGGTCTGTTTCCATAACTTGGTTTGTGTAGATAATGCTGCTATAAACATTGGGGTGTACATGCCTCTTCGAATCATTGTTTGTATCCTTTGGTTAAATACCCAGTTGTTTGCTGGATCATAGGGTAGTTCTATTTTTAACTTTTTGAGGAACCTCCATATTGTTTTCCAGAGTGGCTCTACCAGTTTGCATTCCCACCACTAGTGCAAGAGGGTTTCCCTTTCTCCTCATCCTCACCAACACATGCGGTTTATTGTGTTGTTGATGTTAGCCATTCTGACAGGTGTGAGATGGTATCTTGCTGTCGTTTTGATTAGTATTTCCCCAATGATGAGTGATGAGCATCTTTTCATATGTCTGTTGGTCATCTGAATGTCTTCTTTGGAAAAATGTTGTGTCTTTGTATTTCATATACAGGGTAATGTTAGCCTCGTTTATGAGCTAGGAAATGTTCCTTCCTTTTCAGTTTTTTGGAGGAATTTGAAAAGAATTGGTGTTAATTCAAGTGTTAGAATTTGCCAGTAAGTTATCTGGTCCGGGAATTCTGTTTGTTGGGAGGTTTTTGATTACTGATTCATTTCCTGTCTGGTAGTAGATCCAATCAGATCTCTGTTTTATTCTTGAGTCACAATTCGTAGTTTGTGTGTTTTTTGGAATATCCATTTTGTATACATTACCCAGTTTATTGGTATATAGCTCTTCATAGTATTCTCTTATAATCCTTTTTATTTCTGTAAAGTTGGCAGTAATGTCCTCTCTTTCATAACTAATTTTAGTAATTGGAGTTTTCTTTC